ACAGACAATCAGGGTCTTATATTATGCTCTGATGCCCCCTAGTGGTCAGACAAATGTATGTATATGTAGAGAATGTTAAAAAGGTGCAATACTTGGTCCTTAGTGATTTCTATTGAGTGAAGCCTGCTCTTTATTTAACTGAAGCTACATCCACAGTATCTGCAGCAGCATTCACGACATGTGACATAATTCAGGACGTGAGTTATGACATTTAAAAAATGGCCTGAGCAGAACTCCTCCTGTTTGAGCTACAAATTAAATCCAACCCGCTCTTCTTACACACACACAGGTCTTATCTCATCTCCTCTCTGTCTCTTCAGTCACCAGGGGACTGGCATCCATCTTGTCCGAGGTGATGATGTACGTCTCCATCGTCGGGCTGCAGTTCTGGCTGCTGGTTGAGATGATTTACTGCTACAGGAAGATCTCAGCGGCAGGAGAGGAAGCTCTGAGAGAGAGCGCGTGAGTAGCGCCTACAACACAAAAAGAGTAAACGCACATGCAGCCTCTCCGCGGTACCACTCCCTCAAATCCAGTTCACGCTGGGTCGTCCAAATGTCCCAATTTCTCACCTTCTGCTTTCACCCTTGGTTTTGTCTCCTGTCCGTTTGGGAAAGAGAAGACGCAGGGAAAGGCAAAACAGGCAATTACATCAGGGCCCTGACAATTAATAGGAAACCCTTAAATTCTGTGATCAGCTACGTACAGGAAACTGCAAAACAGCACGGACAGAAACCACCGAACGAGGCCCCAGGCCACTGGCTTCTGTTATGTGTATGCACTTTGCTCAATTGTTGGAATAATTTAGTTGATATCACATGTTTCTTGAGTGGGGGGGGGGTCGCTTTCACCTGGAGCCCCCAAAGTCCTGAGAAACGCTCCTGCAGATACAATCTGTCTCAAATCTGCTCGTCTCAAAAATGACAAATATTTTCCCTTTTCCGGACTGAACTGATTTCTTGCTCTGATTCTGTTCCACTGATCTTTTCCTCTTTTTCAATCTCTTCCCCTCAGGGCCGAGTATTTAGCGATAGCATCGGAAAGTAAAGATAACTGTGCGAGTGTCCAAGTGGCAGAATAGAACTGGTACGTCTGGATTCTCACTTGACTTCTCTTCTCTTCCTTTATTCCTTCTTGTTCGCTTGACAATTGACTCGTGTCCTGCTGCTACAACCTGTGAATGAAACCTGGGAGAGAGTCCTCCGATAAAGTAAATCTAATATTTTCACTTTCATAGGATTCTTCTCAGACATTTTCAATCATGTCACTCATGATCTGATAACGTCTTTGAATTAGAGGTAAGCTGTTTCAGCGCGACTGATTCTTTGGTCAATAAATTCTGATAACTGACATCAGCCTGGTGTATTTTACAGAATGAGCTATGCAGAAAACATTGAATTTTATGTAAAAAAAATATTTTCTTGATTGAAGTTCTATATATTTGGTTGTATTCGTCTTTCACGAGCTTTTAACACATTTTAGATTGAGACATTCTACCTGGTGTTACTTTTGTCCTGGTTTTTATTTTACATTTTTCATTTAATATGAAAGTTTTCCATTTTTTCTTTATTTCAGGTCAAGAAAGAATTCAAGACGACTTCCTTGAGGAATCTCACGTCCATTTTTGTGCTCCACCTCCCCTCACCGTCATACACCACCTCTCCACACGATGGACAAATGAAACCACGGAGGGGAGACAGATCTCCACAGTTATTTAAAGTGACTTCCAACGAGAAGAATGAGAAAGACTGAGCTGTGTCCTGTTGTGAGGGACGGGGGGGGATGCATCAGGTTGTAGTTCATCAGGACACAGACACAGACCTGTTCTGTATATCTGCACAGATAATCTAGAATAAACTGTAGGCCGACATTGTATATTCACTAGTTGCATGCTAACGAGATTATCCAAACGGTCGACGACATGCTCGAAAGGTTGCGTCACGTTTTTTAAGAAACAGTTTTGTCACATTTCATTTCATTGCACGATAAGTGTGTCGGCTTCAGGCTTCCGTCGATAAGGTCTTCATCCATTTGTTTACTCACGAGGCTGAGCTGCAAATGAAATATTTTTAGAGGCAATTCAAAACATTTAAACGCAAATGAAAATCTTTAAAACTCAGATGAGCTTTTACAGCTTCTGTTCTTGCTGTTGTGATGCAGCTCTACTGAACACTGCAGTGAGAACAGCTTGCATTTAGTTCTCATGTTCAGTGTTTCATTTCACAAGGATGAAAGCACCAAGCATCAGGTGTCCCCCCCCCCCCGGATTTTACTAAAACGAGCCTTAATTTGAAGCGTTTGGATCCTGCTGAATGTTTAGCTCGTCACCGTCGGCTGTTTGAAGAGTTTAGAGTCATCGGCCCTCAGGTCAAAGGTAAATATAGTCACAAGCGACAGTAAATTCAAGGTTAAACATTGGAGTCGATGAGACACTGTTTCTGCTGCAGGATTTCCCTCAGAGCTCCCGACGCATAAATCAACAATGAAACTTTTCCTGCAGCGACAACTGAAATTCAATTTAAACATCAGCTTAATTTATCTTCACTTTCAGCTGAACAGTCGGTTTCATGCTGATTTTAATTTGCTCTTTTGAATCTCTTGAAAGCTTCAGACGACGATAGCACCTCACTGATGTGGATTTAAAGAAAAATCAGCTCTATCAATTTGTCCAGAGGTAAAATCTGCAGCGGAGACTTTCCTGCTGCAGTGTAATTCCACACTAATGTCTCGGTGTCTTGGCAAATTGCTAAAAACTCCTGTCCAGTCTTCCTCCCAGAGCAACGACAGTGGAAACCAAAGAGGGAAAAGCAAAGAGCTGAAGTGTTTGTATAAATATAAAAAGTTGTTGTACTTGCGTCACTCTCTCCAGAAAATACTGGATGAAACTAAATAAAACTGTAAAATTCACTGGCTGAAATTCATTGATCTGATGTAATGTGCAGTTGTGGACATGTAAGACGTGGACGTGTCGGAGACGTTCACAAACTGAAGACAAACTTCAACAAAACCAGAATTTATCATTCTTCATTAACACCTATAAATCTACAAAGAATCCTTTTAGCCACAAAGCTGCCTTCACGGAATATTGGTGAGGAAACAATAATTATATCCGGATCTTGGGATGAGATGACAAACTCTCTAAACTCTCAAGAAAGAACAGAACATATGGAGGTAGGGAGTCGTGGAGTTTGTGGTTTTACCTCATGGATCAACTTGAACAGAGTTCGTCTATGGACGAAAGGTTATTTTTGGATGAGTCTCACGACGCAAAACATTTACTGAGACTGAAACTGTTGAATCACAAAAACATTTTTCAGTGTCATGACATCACTGTGACCTTTAACATTTAACCACTGAAATCTAATCAGCTGATCAGAGTCCGAGTGACAACGGGTCCAAATTTGAAGAAAAGAAAATCCGCAGTTAGTTTGACCTTTGACCTCCCAAATCTACTCAGTTAATCCATGAATCTAAATGCTCTAAATCTGAAGGTTATTCTCTCGAGGCGTTCTTAAGATTAACGTGTTCCAGAGGAAACGAAAAGGTCATCGTGACATTTGATTTAGGTCACTCTTGAATCCAAGTGAATGTTTTTCACGTTTGCTTCCTGTGGTGAGACAAATCACCGGGAGCTCAGCTTTGGTGATAATAAGAGCGACCGGCCGTGCGGCACAACTCCAGACGAGTTAGCCTCATTTGACCCGAACACTGTTCGAGGTGAAGAAACACACAGACTCAAAGACGAGTGAGGACTTGTTGCACGTTTTAGTTTTCATTTCTCTCCATGGCCTGTTGTACAATCACATCTTTACAGTACGTTCTCACCCATACTCCTCAGCTGTGTCTCTCTTTCTTTCTCCCCCTCAAGCCAGTTCCCCCCCCCGAATAAATAGTACATCCTTTTGTTATCCGCGGACGGCCGTGCACAGCAGGGCCCACATGCTTCCATAGCCACTTGTTTCAGTGACACAGAGAAAGAGAGAGAGAGAATGAGTGCGTGAAGGGGGGAGAAGAGTGAGCACACAGAGGAAAGGAGAGGAAGAGATGAGGTGGAGAAAACGAAGGGAGTACAGACTGGTGAGATGTTTCCAACGTCAGAGGCAAAAAGAAAGACGGGTGGGAGAAAGAAAAACAACTAAAGACGACAGGATGAAAGATAGAAAACAAAGAGGGATTCAATAAAAAGAGAGGACGAGTCAAATTAATCTAACAAACACACACACGCACACACAAAAAGAAACAATACTGCAAATCAGATTCCCTTTTTCTTCACCTGGGCCAATGTAAGTCCTTGTTGGTCCTCTTCTTCAGAAATGTGCGACCCGGTTGGACAATCAGTCACTGACTGTTCTGACATTTGAAGTTTCTACCTGATCAAGTCTACAGTAAATACTCTACTGTTGAGGTCTGGCTCACGACCAAACCTGAAAGAGGAATCTCAAAAATGATATATATACAAAAAGAAAACCTAAAGAGAAACGATCGAGGATGTAACATCGAGGACTCGCACACTCGCACACATCTGTGATGTCAAAATCTTCTTTTCTTGGTTTGTTCACTGCTTCTACACACATTCACACACATTTCATCATCATCATCATCATTATTATAATAATTATTATATACTACTTTGTTTTGAAACATTCAAAAAGTACTAGAATCACTATTGTCATTATTGCTGTGACCACTAATCGTGTTGAGTTCCTCTTGGTCCGCACCGTAACAGCAAATCAGAGCACAAGACCCCCCCCCCCATGTGACTCCTTAAGAGCAGGACAGGACTTCAGATCAAAAGTCATTGGTAATAATAATAATAATAATAAATACTGTAACGGTCCTAACAAACGAGCCAACACGCTGATTTTCAAAAACGATAAAACAGCAGGAAGAGTGGGAGTGTTTGGGATTCATCCCCAGATGTGCGATCTACATCTAAAAACATCTGGGTGAAAACGTAAGTGTAGAAATGTTCCTCGTCCCCCGAGACTGACGGCCTCTGACGGGAGGTGCGTCCTGCTCCCTGTCAGCGCTCTCTGTCCTCCCCCCGTTGGTTCCTCGTGTCCACACAGCAGGTGGCGTTCCCCTCCTCTTCTTCTATATCAGCAGGCATTCACCAGAGGACAAGGCATCAGACGGTTCCCAGGACTAGGAGGGACACCTCCCACCTTCCAGAGTCGTTGATCCCTTTTCTGCTGAATCTATGAAATGTTGCAGGTCGGAAGAGAAACTGGAGTCTGTGATAGTCTTGAAATCGGGGACGAGGTCTGAGTTCAAGTCATTCTGAAACGACGGGGTTTGGCCGTGTTTAAAATGTGTGTATGATTCTCGAGGAGTGGATGGATGGTCTGAATCAGCCCAGCCAGTGGCCTGTTTCCAGACATGACGTACAGATGACTTGCAGCTGTAGGTTACGTTATTGCTGTGGTCCTGAAATCTTCCTCGTTCGACAGAGTTCACTGAAGTTGTTACTGGTCGAGGCTGTGGGGCAACCGCTGCCATTTCAAGTCAGTCAGGCGAAGAGAGTTGTGGGTAAGGTAGTTCCTCCCCCGCATGTCCCACACCTGGTTTTGCGATTTGGAAATGTGGGAAAGAGGGGGAGAGGGTCCGCCAGGGTGTATTTAGAGGTGGGGTGGGGCAGTGGGAGAAGAGGTAGGACTCAGGCCTCAGTCAGGGACTCGGTGAGCGTGTCAGATGGGGGCTCCTGATGCACCTCTGGGACCACAATACCACGGTGGAGTTTTTCTAAAGACTGTTTCATCTGGGAGATAAACACACGGGTTGGGGTGATGAGGGTGGGAGGGGTGGGAGGGGTGTGAGAGAGAGTCAGATATGCTGGATTACATAATGCAGAGAGAGCATGAGCAGTTTGTGCCACGCTGCCCGTCCGCTCGAGAATTTCTCTAAACAGACTGAAACAAAACACACACGTACCTGGTCGAGAAGTGTGACGGACGACTGCAGGATCTGCTGCCACTTGCTGAGCTGAGCCTGGTGAAACTGCCTCTGGAGCTGCAGGACCTGGGCCCACTCTCCAGCCGTCTGCGGCAACGGACTGGATGAGGAGGAGGAGGAGGAGGGGGAAAGAGGTGGAGGGGAAGGGACAGGAGCAGAGTCATTAAAAAAAAAAGTGCTCTGTAGAGTCTGGTGAAAAATCTCTATGGGTTTATCATTAGGAGAAAAACCTTTCACCTACAAGTATCTATGTGATTCACAGTGGAAAATATTAATCATAGTAATTTTTATGCACTTAACCATGAGAAGGCAAAGGTTTACTTTGTTGCTCTGCACTAAAACTCTGAGGGACGTTTCATACCTCAGCTCCCATGAGAAAAACTTCAACCTGAGACCAAACACTAATTAACACTACGATCCCACTGGGTGAGGGATGAAGATAACACAGTGTGCTATATTTCTATAGAAAATAATGCAGCGTGTTTACCTGTCAGCAACAGAATAGGAGTGCCACGTCTCCAGTGTATGAGCCGCTCTTTCCAGAGCGTACAGCTTGTAGAACAGCAGCATGTTGAGAGCCACCAGCACCACCAGACTGATCGGGACACAGACAGAGAAAAGAGATTTATACATTTACCAAGTGCTACGAAAATACTCAGAAACACAGTCAGTGAGAAATAAAAAGCAAAAAGCTTAAAGTACGGCAACCAAATAAGCAAATGTAGATAATTTAAGGTTTGTAAATGCAAAGTCCAATTTATCACAAAGCAGCTCTCGATCATAACATACTGTCATTTTGTCACAGGAGAAATCCACTCAACACAAATATTAATGTTACAAACAATGAATGCTGATACACTTGCTGCGTTATGCGGCTGAATGTTGACTCGAATCTAGAAGTTTCCCTGTTAGCTCCATTTTAACAACAAGGTAAAAACGTCTTCCTCCACTGAACAATCTGCATTTCACAGCTACACGATCGTTTACCAGGAGAAATCCTGACAAGTGAACTTTGAACTACTTTAAACTGCCGCCACCCCACCTGGCGCTCTGATCGTTTGGAGTTGGATGAATAATTCTCTGAGAAAACATTACAAATATTGAAAAAAAGTTAAATCCTGGATCTGATCCAGATCTGAATCGATTCTTTCCTGACCCACAACAAACCATTTCATAGAAACCTGTCCAGTAATTTTTGTGTAATCCTGCCAAGTAACAAACAACCTCCTTGGCAGAGGTACTGAATACTGCAGCAGCAGCACTACAAATACTACAAAAACTATAAAATCACATTCAATCTGAACGCTTATTATAATTTGAATGGTGGATTTTTCCTGTTAGAAAATGATACAGTTCATAGTTATGCAGCCAATGGTGTAAAATCAAAGCCTCTTATACGAACCTGATACAGATCCTATGCACAAGAAGTATTGCAGAGAGGAGGGGAAAAGAAGAGAAATAGCAAGAGAGGCATTGTGAGGCTGTTAGTATGCAGAAGATCTATATCCAGCATGTCTGGATGAAGGAGCATTCAGACATGGAAAGAATCAAGACAGCAGAAAGAATCAAGACAGCAGAAAGATCAAATTAAAGCTACACAATCAAACCAGTGATTTGATCGGGTGGGAACTCCGTAAACTCCACTGTATAGGAAAGGAGGTACTGTGCTTCTAAAGAGGGGGAACACATGCAAAGACACACATATGCTTCTATGTGTAGACTATACGGATTTACTTTATTTCTAACACAACAAAATCTCTATTCAGAAATGCTCGTCTGTGTAACTCATTGTGCATGAAATGACTAAAACTAACATTCTTATGATCAGTGAAACAGAAAACGATCTTGAATTAAAAAACAGCCAGGAGGGAAGCTCCGAGCGCTGGTTCACATAGTCTCAAGTTATTTATGGACTCAGAGACCCCCACACACACACACACACAAACACGCACACACAAACACAAACACACACACAAGCTTACATGAAGCTGACGATGAGCAGGATGGTGGAAATACTGTTCTGACCTCCACCACGCGAACATTCACCCAGCTTCATATACTCAGAACCTAAAAAAAAAAAGGTAAACAATTATATAGCAGATTCAGGATTTGAAATAATTCTAAAAATGTGTTTTGCACATATTTCATGAGGAGGGATATGATCTTAAAACTTTTAGTTAGACCTCAGAAATCCACAGAAGTTCAATATAACAATGGAGGGATACTTAATACACTGTAAAATGTGAATCACTGTTTCACAGTCACACTGCAGAAAATACCAAAGACAAAATATATTAAAAAATATGAATTTATCTGTACAATAAATGTTACATAATTAAAACAGGTAAACGTAACATAAATAAATAACTTATTAAACTTGCTGCTGGAGAGGATCCCCCCCCAGGCTTTCTTAGATTAAAAAACATTTTGTTGTTAATGTTAACGTGTATTTCACACTAAAGACATAAATTAGACTACGTAGGTTTTTAATACTTTGTAAATCACAAATTAATGTTTTCCAGATCTTCAGATAAACACCTGTTTCTGTAGTTACCCAGGAGAGGGCAGTATCGCACAGATTCAAGCTCTCTTCTTGGTTCCATGACAGACAGTGATGGAGGAAGTTTTGAAATTCTTGCACTGAGCCAAAGCACCTCTAACTGTTTCCTCACTGACTCACCAGCTTCTCTCCTGTCTCTCTCCTCTCCGATTCCTCTGTCCCCTCGTTCTCCAGGGCCCAATCCTCCTCCGTCCCTCTCTCGCTCCCTCTCGCCTGGCCGCCGCAAGCCGGTGCGTTTGCGCCGGCGCAGGCCCGGGGGGGTCTTGACAACACCGGCACCCACTGCTTCGCCTGTGGTCACCACGGAAACCTCAGACTGCAGAAGTGTCTCCAGCTTGCACACCTCACTTTCTGCATGGGGCAAAGGAGACATATGGAGGAATTAAAACGCACCCACCACACAGTTACACATTAATGCTAAAAACTACATGGACTGTGTTGACATTCAAACTTTACTGTTGTTCAGTTATTTACAAAAGGAAAATGTGCCTGAAAGGGACACTTTGGTTTCCATGGGGATGTGTGTGTGTACACAGAGATATGCTCGGAGAGGAGAGCCATGTGACTCACCCATGTGTCTGTAGTACTCCTCAGTGCCGCTCCAGGTGTTCTTTTCAATCAGTGCTTTCACCAGGCTCCACGGCTGCTTCCGGTAGCAGATGTCTGTGGAAACTCTGACCGGAGGAAAAACAAACACACACATTTCCTTGGATTTTGTTGATCTGCCTTTAATTACGCAAAGACGGTCTCTTCGGAAAGACACGCCACTCTCTCCTTTTTGGATTCGTATAATAACATTGCATTAATGGAAAAAGGGTTTCCAAATAAAGGCATCTAGTGATATAACCTCATGTAAAAGCAGTGTGAGACAGTCAAAGCCCTCACTTAATGAAACATATCTTATAATCACATTGCATAATGGTCTATGGAGGCTGCTGCAGTGTAGAAATGACTGGTTCCATTTTCATCCTCTCGTTGTTGAACTTTGCTGCAAAATGCTAAGAAAGACGTCCCTGCTCTTTGATGTTGAAACGCTGACATCAAGATTTGTGGTCATAATATTTAAACACCACTCTTTTAATTCATTTGGCCAGTGACTCTGGCAAAAACATCTATCAATGGAGAAAAAAATACCAGTAGCGTTGTAGTGCTCGGACTTTACGTATTTGGAAAGCAGCGAGGGAGCAAGCTAGAGAAAGATCTGATGGGATTGTCTCCCCAGTGAGAGTCTCTGGTCCCCAGAGTAAAATGACAGAGCCAGTCAATTAAAGTTTACATCATTTATGTTGCTACAGCCTGACAGCACATGGGTCAAACGTGAAGAGGTGATGAAACATGGCAGCGTATTCTCCCTGGAGTCCTGTTTATTTCTGTCCCGTCCCACCCACCCATCCAGGTGGATTAGCTGAGATAAGACAACAACAACAACAACAACAACAACCCTACCTGAGCCGACTCTTGTGCTTGTTGATGGAGGTGAGGCAGTATCTGTGGACAGTGTAGAAGTAGTCCTGGTAGGGGATGCCCGAGGTGATGACCTCCGAATCCACCACATAGCACTCGCCTCGGACACTGTTCTTATGCAATGTCTGGAAGCCGGGGAAAAAGTGGGAGGTGGAAAGTTAATGGTGAGTAAACTTGTTTGCTTCCTCTCATATGAACAAAAGCATCAACTCATTCCATCCGTTCGTTGTAATGTGCTCCTGAGGCAGCGGGTCTAAATGAAAAGCAAGACATTCTGTGTTGCACATGAGCCGCTCACACAGACAGCGTGGCCCAGGCGTAACGAGTACAAACTGCATTACTGTTTAACTGTGAAAAAAAAAACACTACCTCTTTATCTACAACATTAAATGACCTTGTCACAGCAGTTAAGCAGTCAGTTTTATATGTATAAATAGTAGTTGTGTTAAACTAAAATAGCTGAAACCAGCTGTCGACCCATAAATAGACCTAAAACTGAAACCAATATAAAGCAAATTAAAAAGATTAACAGGTCATCGTTACAAATTAAAAGTTCTCCTCCAGTTCAGGCTGAATAAGCACAGTGTTAATATCCTGTATTAGAGCCGCTGCCTGTCAAGGACTGACCTGCGTTTCCACCACAGGGGCGGTTTTGGGGCCGAGGGGGTTGTTGAGGGCGATGGTGTAGCTGAGCACACGGCTGGTATTCCCAATGCTGCTGTCCTGCTGCCAGTCACCCACCGACAGGTCTGTCAGAGAGACGGAGAGAGAAGAAGAAAAGAGTCAGGGAAAATAGGCAAATCCAAAGAGAAGACATGAAGAGATTTTGTGAAAATGAGAGGGCAAAAGGACAAGAGAGGATGAGAATTTAATGAATGAGAAGAGGAGAGAGACCATGAGATGGAGGGGTTGAAGGAGGGGGGAGAGAAAAAGAGAGGGTCAAACCACGCTCCTTCAAAGAAAGAGAAAGAATTCCCCAATTAGAGTGACACAATTTTCTCTGGCAGGCTGGGGCTCCAACTGGGGGATAAAGTAACTCTAGCTCCAAATGAACTTCATGACAGGAAATATGTAAAATACACAGTGCATGTGTGCAAATATCCAAAATACAATTTAAAAATATGTAGATGTACAGTGAGAGGGCATGAAAAAACTACGATAAATGGTGGTTAACGCAGCATGAAGAGCTGGTGCAGTACTTTCATTAGTGAAACAATACAGTGGGCTTCAGTTTGTTTCTGTATTTATCAGATGGAGCCAGTGGCCAAAAGTAAAACATCACCAAAGAAAATGTCTCCTCAGTTAAATCTTAAAAAGTAGAAACCATCACAGGTTCCAAACATCTTTTTATCCCATGATATCTAAAAAAACCAACAAATAATGAAGTTCTAGCTTGATACAGAGATCATGAAAGAACAAACGGCAGCATCAATGGTCCGGTGAGCTCCAACAACAAACTCTGCGTTTCAGATGTCACGGTCACAACAGGAAAAACTCGCTCTCTCACTGTTTATGAGACAAGTAAACACAAGTCACACTCAGGAAACTGTAGGAATGGTACATTATCATCCCGGCTAACCTAGAGCTGTTTTCACACAAGTCTGGAAAATTGGGTCTCATCATTTTGCGAGTTTGTCGTCCACACATGACAAAGAACGACGGAGGCAGGACATGACGTATAAATTCCACTGCAGTAATCATGTGGTTTTGTTCACAGTATATTGACACCAACGTCGGCCCTCATCACCTAAAGCTCTCCCTCAGCTTCTATGTGAATGGCTCTTCTCTTTCATCCTGAGATATTTGTGTTCCTCCAGTTTTGCATCCTTTGCAAGTTAGAGACGTCATCACCAACTCCCACTCGCTTACATGGGTTCACTCAGACATTGTCCAGACTTTCAGTGTGTGTGTGTGTGTGTGTGTGTGTGTGTGTGTGTGTGTGTGTGTGTGTGTGTGTGTGTGTGTGTGTGTGTGTGTGTGTTTTTTTGTGAGTGCAGGGTACGTTCAACACAACATTTGGNTGTGTGTGTGTGTGTGTGTGTGTGTGTGTGTGTGTGTGTGTGTGTGTGTGTGTGTGTGTGTATGTGTTACCTACCAGTGAAGTGTCTCTGAGAGAAGAGGTGCTGGATGAAGTGTGTGTCAGCGGAGAAGAGCAGGTCGTGCAGCTTGTCTACACTCATGCGGACCACAGTGTTGATGTGCAGCCGTCCGCTCAGGTCGGCACAGAAGGACTCCACCTCACCTTCACATCGAGAACAGCATATACAACATTTACTTTTCTTTAGATTTTATGTTGGGTTCTTTTTCTGGTTGTCGTCATACCCTCTCTCTCTATATATATATATATTTTTTCTTTTAATCATAGTTAAACATTTATCCCTGTATTGTTGTAGATTCTAAATACAAAGCTGGACTTTGACATGTTTGCTTTAGAGTTTAATTTGACACTTACTCCAGCAGTGGAGCAAGTCGTTGCTTTATGTTTTGCTTAATAGGTGAAAGCTCACTCTATATTCAAATGTCAGGCAATAATATATTAATGTTGGCAGTTTAGAAGTTATTTTTAGGGTATATCATGTGAATATATATATATATCGAGGACATAAACCTCCACAGAGCAGTTAATCACACCATCTTAATGATTGAAACATTTTCCCTGTGATCACTGTTGAAAGAAGAAGAAGTGAAAGCAAAGAGATTCATTCACAGAGCTCAGGAGGAAATAAAAGAACTTGCAATAATAATAATCTTTAACAACAGTGTCAGAACAGATTCATTCCAGAAACCTTAAATACTTTGAATTTATTGTCTGGTGACCTGCACCAATGCCAAAAAATCACTCACTCTCTTCATGCGTGTCAGAGGAGTTGCTGTGGTCAGAGGGCAGCTCCTCATCGTTGGTGATGTCCAGTGACGAGAGGTTTCCCAGACTGGTGGACGGTGGGGGCAGAATGTGATTGGCTGACTCAGACAGACTGTCTCCACCCTCTTCTAGATTCTGAGACAGAGAGGGTTGGGGGTGGGGGGAGAAAGCAGCACACGAGAGGAGTGTCAGTGAAAGGTTTTTGGAGAAATCACCCCATTGTCATATGACTAGACATACAAGGGCTCAACTTGGATGACCTTGTGTTGATACAGCCCGAGAACACACACCACTGCAGCCGTGCAATTAATCTGCAGCCGACACACCGTCTACACAGCAGTCCATTATTCACTGTAGCTCGACCTGAGCTCACTCTGTCCATACTGAGATTGATTCGGCAGGCGGAGGCCAACAAGAACAACTACACACTATGTGACTATTTCTTGCCTTAATACACATTCACCCCATTTCTCATCTATTACTTCAAGTTATTCTGCTTTGACTTAATTCATTCTTTTTGACATTTTATGCCTTTATTGGAAAAATGACAGTTAAAGGTACAGTGTGTAGAAGTTTGTGATATCTAGTGTTGAAATTGCATGACCTGACACTATCTACGCATTGCTGCTGTGTTACAAAGGTGCTACTACTAATACAGTTCAAATTTATATCAAGCCACAAATCTTCTAGAGGAGTCATGTCATGTTAAAAAGGCAACTATGCAGCACTGCTTGGATATTTTACAGAAGACAAATCAGACTTGTTTAGCAAGTACATCATGAATCTGGCCAGACACCACTATTTACATGCCAACACACAGACATTACACAAACACAGAAACCACCAGATCAATCAGTGACTGCACAAATATTTGTTGTAGGTTTAGATTTTGTTTTTGAGTATTTTCATGTAAAAACTGATGGAAAATGTGGCGTCAGTTGGAGAATGCCACGGCTGCACAGCCACTTTATCACCATAGTGCATTTACATTCATTAAAACCAGATATATATGGATCATTATTATTATTCGTATCTGCCCGAAATTGCACCAGTTCATAGATATTATCTACTCTACACATGTCGGATTTCTTTTGAGCGATTCACAAAAAAATTAATCAAAAGAAGCTGAACCACCAGGAGTCTACGGCTGATAGTATGTGTGGATTCTACGTAACTGACTCATCACTGCAAAATAAGCAAATGCTAACTAAACAACTGCCTGCAAATATCTGGAGGACATCTTGAAACCTGTTTTTTAATATTCTTAACAATAGGTGGTGCAAAGTTATTTTTGTTACTCTTGCAAAACTAGTGTAAATGAAATAATGAAGTAAATAGAAAATCCCATGTGATCAAACTGAGCATTTACACTATTTACATTTACACTAGCGTTGATGTCTAAGGATGTGTGGACGTCAAAGAGAAACACTCACAAAGGAGGCAGCAGCAGAGACCGGGGCTGAGGCAGAGGTGTTGGTGGGCGTGGTGGATGGCAACATGCTGTGGGAGCTGGGCGGACTGGGTTCGATGGGGTCGGAGCTGAGTCTGCGTGCAGATGCAGATGGCACGTCTACGGGCAGGCAGGAGGCGGAGGACGTGAGAGAGGAGCTCCCGAGGTTCGTAGCAGAGGAAGGGCTGGCAGGACCGCAGGGCACCAGGGGAGGGGGAGAGTTGCCCGTTGAGGGAACTGACACAGAGCTCAGGTCTAGAAGATCTGTGACCGACACAGACTCGTCTCCTGGCCTGGAGAACGAAGGGAGAGGAGGTCAGACTGAATTAAACTGAGATATTTAACTCGACTGAGAAAGGAAGGTGCAGTTTGTTTAGTGGTTAGATACTTGATGCTATTATTATGTGAGCTCACATGAAAAACTCAAGATGGGTGCCTGCTACAATGTGAATGCCCCTCATGGAAATGTGCTTATCTACAATCTAAACTAGAATGGGGGCTGCCTCGGAGGACAGCAAAAACTTAATGGATGTTAAACATTGAATAACCACAATAAAATTATAATTTGAGTTCACTGTTGTTCTCCCAGCACAAGAAATCATGCATGGCGATTTTTTTTTTTTGGAAGACGATCAATTGTATTATGTGAAAAGTGTGTTGATGTCAGATGACAAGCATAACAAATATAAGGCCCTGAAATAAAACAAAGCAAAGAGCCATGTTTTCACACGTGAACACTCACAGTAGGCCGTTCATGTGTTCGGCGGTGGGGGAAACATAGTCGTCGTCTTCACTCGTGAGTCCCAGCTCAGTGCCGTAACACTGGTGAACGATGTGCCACAGCTCTTTGGGGGATAAAGACTGTGAAAACAAACACAAACCTTTTATTAAATATTTTATAAGGATCAAATTAAATGACTCATTTGCTCATTCTTATAGCTCCACAGATCTCCATCTACACACAGTTGGTAGAAACTGTTTGGCCAGTGTGGCTTAAGCCAAGTTCACATTACACAACTTCAAAAGTCTTGCAGTGGTTGGGAGTTCATACTACTCCACTGACTGACTGACACTACTCGATCTTTCAACAGCACAAACCCACGACTAGTCTGTCTGATCTCCAAACTACATTTGACCACACGGATAGTCCAAAAAATTGGGCTAAAAGTCGTGTAGTGTGAACAAGGCTTAACCCAACCTTTTGCGGATGAAACAATGACACTGATGCAAAGACCAAGTCAGGTCATGTTTCCACTGCATGCAAAGTTTCATCTCACCATCTGTTGCCATGTGCTTTAACTCTAATCTGCTGTTTCTGCACCAGCGCTGTCCAAATAAATGTCTGTATTCAAACTGAGCAAATAACAGGGATTTAAACTGTTCTCCCGAGCCTGCGTTTATGGTCTTTTCCTGCTTCTTGACACTGAGGTCTATTCTAAGACATTAACTAATAGCCATGTCCCATCAGGCAGCAGCACAAACCACCAGGGGGGGTGGGAGAGGAGGTTGTACCTTGTCCAAGAGTGCGTTCTGCCACAGACGGAAAATCATCATGAAGCTGCGATCCCTTGCTCCAAAAGATGTGAAGAAATGCTGAGGAGGTAAATACCAGTGAGACAGGAAGGCGGGAGGATAGGAAGGAAGGAAGAAAAGAAGGGAGACAAATGTGACAGTGAATTTGACGAATGGTTTCCCTCTGCCGGGATGTTTGCTTTGTCAGTCAGACGAGATACTGTTGAGTCAGTTGATTTTAAACTGCTTCAACAGCAAAGAAAAGGATCAACAGCTTACACTTTTCCTGCCGTTGTAGAAGCCGTAAACTTGAACTATAATAACGGTGTCTTAATGCATAACAGAGTCTTTATTTCTTTGAAAATGTGTGAAACAGGGCTCAGTATTATTTGTGCTGGAATCTGACCTTCTCATTGTCAGTGCTGATCTGAATGGCGTTTGGGATGAGCTTCGCAGTCTTCTCCTTGGTCATTGAGGTCACATCTTTCAGCAGGATAGTGATCTGAACAGAGCGGGAAAGGGATTTACTGTGTGTCAGTGTGTCGGACACTCTTATCTCAGCAAGGGCCTGAGCGTATCTATATTGATCTGCAAACAAGTCATTTAAAAAGACTTCTTATCAGATTGCAGGTGTCACATTAACCTGGTTACAACAGGCGTGTGTTTGATCGTGCACGTGCAAATGTGTACACAGTGCGTGCATGACTTACAGTGGTTTCCCAGCGGAAGATGTTACTGTAGAAACAGAGCCAATTCTCTGACAGGTAAAGGCGGCCCTGAAGCAGAATGTCCTTCTGCAGAGCACAAGAGTAGTCTGAGGAGCGACACAGGGAAAGACAAGGGGTCAGGGGACTGAGACACAACCGCTTATGCCAGGAATCATTCCAACAATTTAAGAGGTCGACTTCAGAGAGAGAGGTGACGGTGAGCTTTTAATCTTCTGGTCTTTGACACTTCTCTGTTTCACTCACCCACTATAAGTCGCTCTGAGTCAGGAAGTTTCTTAAAGAGTTTACGAAAGTCCTCGTTCCGCTGTTTGTATGTAGGACTGAGAACCTGAGGGGAAAAACAGAAATAAGAAAGGAGAACACAAATTCAAATTCACTACAGGCCTACACAGCAGTCACCTGCTAGGTTATCTAAAAAAAAAAGTTAAACGGCAGTGATGAGTACTTCACCATTGCAGTGTTTGAGGAGAGGAGATGCTGATGATGACGACACAACTGTCATTACAACAAGCATTGGGTAGATGGTAATGTTGAATCTCACGAGTCAAATCTGGACCATCCCGGACCAGTTAACATGTGACTTACAACCCGACCCCTCCAAACACACATGCTACATGCACAGTCAGTCAAATGCCCTCCTGTTTAGGGGGGTAGAGTGGTGATTTCTGAAATGTATCTGGGAACTGCCACAGCACCTGCGCTCACTCCTCCAGCTGTCAATGAGTGACAACGTGCTGAGCTTGCTGCTGTCAAAAGCTAATACTTTGTGGCACATTTCACAAGCAGCAGAGCCACTAAGAACAAATTCACCAGTGCATATTTTTGTCCTAATGTGATCCATTTTGATGTTCTAGCTTATTTGTTGTCAGTAGCGACAGTTATCTGAGTGGAAGCGAAGGGGTCAGAGGTGCTGTCAAAGCTTTTCATAATAAAACAAATCCTTGAGTCTGACTAGGCTTCATATAAGCTGATTTAGATATAGAAAAAATATTGTGTTTTAATTTCTGATTCCTATGGAAAAAAGAGTTGTTCTCACACGCTGGACTTGCATTTTTACCCTTGCCTGTGAATTTATATATATATAAAAATAAAACTTTCACCTGCGGGTATCAGACCTGGTGCAGGACTCTACTCTGTGGTGCCAGCATATGCACTGAAATCTAATGGCAAGGTGCAGACACGTCCATACAATCTCAAAACACTCTGTCAACTACTTCCACCTTTAAAGTTAACTGGAGTGAAAATGTGTATCGAGGGTCTGTTAATATTTACTTACATTGTACCAGCTCTGCATTTTCTGTGAAGAAAAGAATGGCACACTTAGTAGTGAACAGTGCAGAAATTTGTCAGCAGGAATAAAAAAAAAGATTACACCAGTTAATCTTTGAAGGTATGAGTGTTCAATGCCCTGGTAAAGCAGCACAGTGTGATATTTAAAGCATGTGTTCACGCCAGTCAAGTCCAGACCAGAGGCCAAGTCTGTTTTATGTAACCTTGATGTTTTGCTCTTTTCAAGCACTGTCAACTATCAGCACGTCTCCATTTCAAAAAGATACGTGTCACTAACCAGCTGTAATGAACAGTCCTTAGTACACAAAGCAGGTACATACAACATCCAGGTTAATTAACTTACAACAAACATGCTAATGTAAACATCCTATAAGGCAATCTGCTGACAGAAACTGTCAACAAAAGACAAATATGGAAGGTAAACCACTAAATAAAGGGTAGAATTTACTGGAAACCCCCATTCAATTTTATCGTATTTGTATTGCGCCAAATCAGAAAATGCATTATCTCAGGGCACTTTGTATAGTGAGGTCCGGACCTTACATACAGTATTACAGAGAAGCCCAACAGTTCCCACAATGAGCAAGGACTTGGTGACAGTGGAGATATACTTGGTATTTAAGGTGATTATGAACTTCTGCCAGATCCGTTCACTCATGCACAACTGTTTATAGTGTTGTTCAAACTCTGCAAAGTCATCATGAAAAGGATTTGAGTCATGGATGAGGACAAGAATGCAGGATAAATAGCCTTGATGTAATAATAGGTTTGATTTAGTGATGATCCCAGTGAACGATAATGACACTGGGATCACATAGAAGAGATTTGAGGTTTTGGCTGACACACATTACACAGCGATCAGCCTGTGTAGTAACTGGAACAAAGGCAGAGCGTTTTCTCAGGAGCAATGAATATTCCGAGTTACCTTGGCATTGCGGCTGAAGTGGCGGGAAGCAAGCGGGTAGGCAGACGTGAGGGAGGAGGCCGAGGGAATGGAGGGCAGGGGACTATCAGAACCTCCACCTCCTCCACCTGTGCCCTTCTCACCTCCTCCCTCGCTCTCACTGGCCCTGCCACCCCCAAGGACCCTGCGCCGCAGGGAGGGGGAGCTACCAGGGGTGCTGCGTGGAGAGTTACTGGCCGTACTGTAGAAAAAAAAAAAAAGACACGGTGAGATTTACCTCAGGGGAGTACAGCAGAAATGGTTTCATATATCAAACGCTAAATTTTGCTCTGACGAGCGTTAAAAAATGTTCTTTCTGGTTCTTTTTTTAAGGCTGCAGGCACTTCCTATTTGATAATAGCATATCATCTCAGACTGACTAGTGGAGACCAGAGAAAGGCTATGTAAGGCCAGGGTTATCAGCTAGACAAATTTTTAATGGAGCGTGGCAGTGAGGGTATTTAACGCTGTTTGGTAATGTGTCTTCAGACAGTCCAATCAAGGAAGCTAAGTACAAAACCAAGGACTCACTGTTTACATCACTTGGGAAAACTGTGGTACACAAACAGGTCACATTGGAAAAAGATGATTGTTGCACTTTAAGGACCTTTTCCCCACAAATTCATAAAGGACCCAAAAGTGACAATATTGGGTCTTACATTTACAACTGTTAATAAAGATGGAGCCAAAGCATCTCAATAGCCACATGATGGCTGGCAGCAGTAAACCTCATAATTCCTGTCTCCTCAATGTTAATTGACAGGACTTGGACCAAACTAAATTTTTTTATACTAATAAATTGAACTGATCTGAATCCTCCATATCCTTTACCATAAATGTTCCTTTGTCTTCTTATGAATTTACCTCTTTATACATATATGCTGCTAAAACAGAGGTGAAATGAATAGTAATCTGTAATAACTGTGACAATTGTTTCCCTTGTGTACTAACAACTATTTTCTTCTTTTCCTCAGTCCTTATTAGCACAAACTGAAAAGCAAATGGGGAAAAAAACACACTAAACAAAATTTTACATTTTAAATACTAGCGTAGGAATTTCAGGCACAACTTTACCTACGTCCAAGGAAAAGGTGTGAAGAGGTTACACCTCCAGCACCGCCCTGGTCGTTTTATATATTTATACACACAGATGTAATGCCTCTTTGGAGTCACCCTACAGCTGCCAAAGCATCACATTCGGGGTCAGTGGCTTGTGAGAATGGCTGTATTTATGCCACAACACACCGTTTCCATGGTTGCAGCTTATTAACCGTCACCTTCACCATCGATCATCTTAGAAGTTTACCTCCGTCTTTCAAACATATACATGCAACTATTTATCATTGTCTGCTCCATTATCCCAAGCGTTCACTATGAATGAAATGTGGCTGCAGTTTATAACGACTCCAAACCAAGAGTCCAACACTTCCCCCCCACTGTTTGTAAATGGAATAGACATCAATTATAATAAACAGTTTGCAAATCTCTTTGAGTAAAGCACAAACACACAGGGAGACCAGGTAACTCAAGATTATGTGACAAGAAATGGTGGTGGAGAAAACAATTTGCATGAACATCATCAAACTTGGGCTTACGTTATTGTTTTGATTGTGGCCAAAGTTACACACTGTACTGTACATATAACTGAAAATGATCTATTGTCTTCTATAGTGCATGGCAGTTATCTTATTCTATGTTGTAATAATGTTTTCTTGGTTCCTCTCTTGTAGAGGAGTGAAAAATGAAATGAGTGCAGCTTGGTTTTGTCAGTGACAGGAGCTGGAGAGGAAAGGACCAGACAAAATTACCACTGTAGCTAGAGAGACGTCATCCCCTCATCTCACCAAGTTGCTTTTATAGAAAATAATCAAAGAAATATGACTCTATCTAATGAGGCCGTGTTGATCAAAGCAGCGGCGTGATGACACGCAGCATTAAGCCATCCTGCCATGAGGGGAGAGGAGGCTGTAAATAGGCTGTGCGGTCAGTCGGTGCGACTAAATGTGACCAGGACACTGAGTGATGTCAATCTGTGTCAGCGTGTGTTTACAATCCGTCAGCAGCACGGATGCAAAAGGCCGAGCGGCAGCATTTCCAGATCGACACAGACCTCCCGCTGGAGTTCTCGTTGATGTGGTTCAACCTGGTAAACACTGTCCTCTCATCGGCTAATGGGAAGCTAGCACAACCAGCTACCCACAACCCAACCAACACTACATCTTGACAGACACAAACACACAAGAGCTAAGTCAAAACAGTCAAGGGGAAATTAGGCAACTGGTTCAAAAGACACTTGATTGTGCAAAGGCGATGTGGTCAATGACAGGGGGCAGAGGGGTGAGGGTGAGGGGGTGTAGACAGACAGGGTGACCGAATGAGGACAGACAGGATGAACATAAACAAATCTCAAGCTCACACACACACACACACACACAGCAACAGACACACAAAGACACACTCTGCAGGTTTTGCATCGAGCATGTATGCACCATACATACAAGATCCTCTGGTTATTTGACCACAACAAACTGATTCCCTGCACAACACATGCACAACAGATGCTATCTATCCATGACGCACACTTACTCGAACATGTCATGAGGCGGTTGCTGCTCACGGTTGTTTCAGACGAGAATTTATACGATTTTGCATCAGTATTGCACCGGTGTCTCCAGTGTGTGTGTGTGTAGCTAAAGCAAACCAGACGCTAAAAACGCAGGAGGAGGAGGAGGAGGGGGTTGGATGTCCGCGCTTATGCCTTGTTTCCTTCGTTTATCTGAGGGTTAGAAACGTCCACCATCGTCCACCGCCCCGGAGGATCGGCTGTTAATTTCCCATCGCGACCGACGCCCAAGCACCTCGCAGCCAGGTACCGGACACACCGCCGCTCCCTATGCCGAAAGCAGGAGCCGGTGACGGGCTGCCGTCTCTGCGTCCATCCGTAATCCCTTTCTGCAAGAAGGGAGCGGGTGGGAGGAGGAACAGGAGGGAGGAGGGGGGAGGTGGAGGCGGCTCCATGTGTACAGTGAGGTGCAGGCATCGGTGAAGATTTAGAGATTAAAACATATTTTTACTATCAGTCATCTTTGTGATGAAAGTTTTATTTTAACTTGGCTTTACACGCAGCTTCTGCCCGGTGAGCAAACACATGCTCACAAACTGGAATGCCCCTAAAGTGTTAAGTGCATATTCTTCCACCAACAGTCTCCCAGTGAAACTACATTTAAATTCTCTCAATCCTACTTCCACACACCAAATGAACATTCTCAAAAACACCTCTCACAATATTACAGAGAGAGAAAAAAAAGGAAATTCCAGAGGCACCCATCCTCTGATCCGCACCAAAATGTTTTATGTTCTTCCCTGATCCATTCCACACCATTCCACCAAATTTACTGGTAATCCATCCAGTAGTTTTTAACGTAATCCTGCTCACTAACATACGCAGATAAATACATAACCTCTTTGGCAGATTTTACAAGCTTCAAGATTAGTCTTCTATTTATTCTCCAATTCATTTATGACAATCCTGTATTTCCAGCAAGACAAAAGACGACATCCGGTACACGCGTTAATACATTTGCAACATTGGCAAACACGAGCCTTTCCCAAACTTATTGGTGGCGGCTGATGTTTGCAGATATGTGCCAATATACAAACTTTTATTTTACAGAATGAACAATAAAGAAACTTTACTTTTTTTATTTTACTTTTTAGTTCTATTTTATATATTTTGTTGTACTTTTTGTGTTTACTTTTTATTTATACAAACATATTTAAGTTTAATAACATGATCATATAGAGACTAAATAAAAATCTGGATAATAACCATCAGATATATCAATAATTAAACGATCTCTCGAAGTCTGTTTCCAACCCACATAAAAAACATCTTGTATAAAGCGGTTGTTGTTAAATTCATTTTAGCATGAATGTCTTCACAGTAATATAAGATTAAGGTGGTGGGTGTCATGCTGTCAAGATTCCTTTCCCATTGTAATGCAGCTATCACAAGTTCACTACAACGCTACAGAGACCATGTCTGCAGTAGTGAATTCACCTGGCCAAAGCCCAGAGCCCACCCAATCCCTCAACCCCCAATCTCTCTGTCCATCCCTCTGGATTAGAGTCCACATCATAATCCACGCTGGGCTGAGCCAAGCCCACATCTCCACCATTCTGCCTCCCTCTGTGTAATCTGCTTTTCTGAGGTTCACCAATAGCCCACAATAACGTCTGGGTTTCGTGGGCCAAGTGGGCATGGAGCAAAGAGACAAAATGAAGCTTTAAAGAATAACTGGTAAAGTAGAAGATGTACATTTTACACTACAGGGTTTATATGTACTACAAGATGTATATGTTCTACTCATACACCAAGAGAAAATGTCAAAGAGAGGAGAAGAGTGCACAGATCGAAGTCTGAGCTATTTAGGAGTTTGCTGCTTGGTGCAAAATCCAAAGAGCCAAAAATAAACACTATGCATAGTACAAAACAAATCAGTGAAGGTATGAAAAGAGATTTTTTTTTTATTATTATGTGGTTCCATTTGTTTATCCGTGAATACATCTAAATTGTAGGGTAACCTGAAAATAAAAAGGTGCTACAGTGTCTTAAGTAATATTGGACAGAACGTCTTTTCAACACATTTCTTAAACTCTTCAAATTGCACTTTATACTGTCCTCTGCAAACAGACACACAAAAAACCAAGACATAACATAAGACAAGAGCGTACAGATTAGCAATATTTAAAAATCAGAGGCCAACAAGTGGAATGTTGTTATGGCCATTTAACAAGTACACCAAAAGATATAGGATGAGGTTCCAGTGTAAAGCAGAAGTACTCTTTCAGTTGTACTCCCTAAAGGCAGCTTTAACTAAAGCAAATCAACATAGACATTCGACAACACAAAAAGGAATCAATTTGCTCCTCACAAACACAGCTACTGACCTTTATGAACTTTCTGAAGTTTTCATACTTTGCCGCAAACACTTCAGGTGTAAACTGGCAGTCCACTCAAGACCCATGCAAGAAAACCATTTAAGCTTCAGCTCTAACTTGTTCTATCACTCTAACTTTTCATTAAAAATCTTTTGGCATCCTCCTTGATTACTGTATAATGTGTGTTGTGTCCACAGTCTGGACTGAGACACCAGTAATTTGCTGTGTAACAGCCCGTCTACAGAGTCTTAATAGCTTCCATTGCTTGAGGCATGATCAGGGCAAAGTTAAAAATGATTATAGACTGTATCAATAGAGTCCAAAAACTCTCTTTACACTGATGTGATGAAAGCCAAGATTAGATGGGCTGTGGTTCAGAATGAATGTCCAATACATCAATTGTCTGCTCTGTGACTCAGCGACATTGGAAAGACCAGTACTGAAGAAACGCTTGAAAAGGAAACAGAAGTTACACAAGGTGGCTTTAGGCAATTCATTTAAAAGAGGAGATAAGGTTGCATATTTAATATCTTATCTGGAGCTTTTTGACAGTGTTGAGGAGGAAGCTGACTTTTGTTAATGGGGCAAACCAGGTCCGCTATAAAAATTAATTATTTTGAGTGTTTTATTCTGTCTTTTATTTGTGCTGCTTGCTTTGTAGACTATACTACTTGTGGTTTGTGTTGTATTTCCCTCTTGTACCTCTTGTACCTCTTATGTATGTTTCATAAACACCTTGACTGATTGTCAATTGTGTATTTTCTAAAATTAGGTTCTACATATTTGGTTGTATGTGTTTCCTTGCAATTTATAGTTTATTGTTAAACTGTAAAATTTCTAGCCTCAGTTATTTTTTTTCTGTCAGTTGCATTTGATAACAACATCTTAGGAATTACACACACACTTTCTTAGAATTAACATTGACGCTCCAAATTCCATATTTTGTTTCGTGCTTTTTTTCTTTTTTGAATATTTGGCCATGTGTGTTGTGAGTTGTCTTATGAAAAAAGAAAACCAACCCAGTTAACTGTCAAGTATAATTTTGCATTTGAAGTTGTATTTTGAAAAGAAAACCCAGAATTGGACACAAGAGATTTAGCGCTATATTTGAATAGCATTATATAATTATTTTATGGCTTTCATTTACTTATTAAATTACATATACAGCAAAGCATTAGCTTTATAGTGGAAAAATGCATAATCCCATTGCATAAAGCGAATATATCAATCAATACAATTATGTATAAATGAAAACAACAAGGGCACAGCTGTTCATATGGAGCACAGAAGAGAATCACCCTCTGCTCGCCCTCTAAAGCCCACTGCAGTGATGCCCTGAACCTCCTCTGATTGGACTCACATGACATCATCAGACTGAGAGCCCACTCTCATTGGCTGAGGGTGATGTCATGATCCAGAGGAAGGATAAATGGCGCATTAACCCCGCCTCTAGCTCCTTGTGACTGACCCAGCTCTGTTTTTCCTTGCTGCTCCAACAGTGGTCTCACTTTCTTTGTTTACAGTCTGCATAATGTTGATGTCTTGCTTATTTAAAGAGGTTGTCTATGCTGACAGCTCACGCTACTCTTCAAACTACCAGGTCAAATGTATCATGTACATTATTGGGGGGAGGGGTTATTGCACAAGAGCATTTCTTGCTTTATCACTTAAATTCTACCACCTCAGCGTAGGCCAACTAATTTATCTAACGTCAGAGTGTCCCATGAACCAACTCCGCTTAATCTGGACTTTAACAGTGTAATCTGTCCTCACTAGTTTTAGCCAATAGCTAATTAACTACGTCCTGTTCCAAAATAGTTGACCTTGTGTGGCAGTTGAGGAAAGTGGACTAAGAGTAAATCTGTCAGATGTAAGGCCATTTTACTCCCAGCCAACAAGCACAAATGAGAGGCTACTCATTCCAGTAAGTCATTGCAGCCAAATCTGGTCTCTGTAGGCCTGCATGCAAATTGGCTGAGGTTTTACAGAGCTACAAGCACTGAATACCCATGAGACAATCAAACATAGTGCTGACAGTGTGGACACACTGTTCCGAGTCGCTGAACCCTATATGTATTGGTGCTGCTGTAAGATAAGTGAGCTTCAAAGAGAGAGTCTGAATGAAGGATAGAAAAATAAGCTTTAGTTTGGGTCATAAGGGAATAAAAATATTACTTCTTTCATCATACTGTTTCTAATCTTTGGCTGGTTGGTTGGGATGAATCCAGCACACTAACCTGCAGCTGTCCCAGTCAGAGTCTCTGCTTAGCAGGCTCCTGAGAGACCAACGAGAGCGGCGGCAGGGAGATGGACTACGAGACCATGAGCACGACGGTGGTAGGAGAAGGTCCTGTGAAGGGCTGTCCTGACCTTGGTCAACGCCTTCCATGTGAGTGGCCACAGAGGGGGAAGGCGAGGGGCTTCGCTGGTGAGTGTCCTCTATTTGAATTTTCGGCGTTTTGCCCCGCTTCGGACTGCAACCTTGCTCATCCTCGTTTCGTTTCTTAGTTCTGGTCCTGCTGCGGTGGGATCGACTGTGGCGGCCAAAGCGTGACAGTCTGGGGCTTGGTGAGCAAGACCAGGACTCTGTATCTGAGGATGGTGGCATGACAGTCAGCATTGGGACAGGGACGGGCTGAGCCAGAGTGATACCCTCTGGTCCCACAGGAGAGGACATACTCATCTTCAAAGCTTTCTACTGATTCATTTTCTCTTTTAGACAATTTTTTTTTTAAAAAGGCACCGACATACGCTGGTTGCATCTAGAGCTGAGCCTGAACCATGACCGACTGTGAAGTTCCAGTCATGCTTGCTTTTGATATAATTTAGTAACAGGGTGGTTAAAAAAGTCAGGTACGTCCTGTATTCAAATCAGCTCTGACTTCTTAAGTAACACTAACCAGATTAACAGGATGATTCATCTTTCCACAAATTTTTTGTGAACTTCAATTTTCTTCCTTCCCCATTATTGTTAAAACCATTTAGACAGTGGTTTGGGTGTTTCTTCAGTCAACAGTGCAGCACGAAGCTAGGAGGGGCCCCATTGGATTATGTGACAGGCCTTCTCTTTCAGGTAATCCATTTCCAGTTATCCGCTCATGTGCATATGTTGGGTAAGAGCAACTAAAATGCTGTGTCGTCCCTCTTCTATGTTTAGTTTATGTGCCTCGCCCCTTCCTCCTCTGCACTTTCCGATGTTTCTCTTTCTCTTCAATATTCCTTTCCTTCCTTTGGCAGACTTCAATCTTGAATTTATAAAATCAAGCTCATCTTTGCAAGAGTTGTAGTTTCAGACAAAGACGGATCTGTGTCTGGAAGTTGCTACCTGAGGAGTGAAAAGAGCAGAAACTTTGCATTTAAAAAGGCTGACCTGTATCTAACTGCCTCTTTGTTTTGAATTTATTTGAATCTTTGTGTTTTTTCATGAAATATTAATGCTTCAACATTACTGCGAAATCAAGCCATAACAGGACTAAGTTATTTATGTCTGGTTTTTGAAACTTTCTCCTCTGCCAATTCTGGGAATATGAGGTATTATATGACAAAGATGATGATTTGCAATGAAATACTATTCCTGTTAGTAAACTAATAGCTTTTTTCCAGGTGGAGTCATTTATTATCTTATTTCTTCAGCCCAATTTTTTAAAATAGCTTTTTCAGTGATGTTACTTAAGTTTTCTCCCTTCAAGTGACTCAGAAATTGCCAAAACTGTAACCGTTGGAATGACACAAGTGTTTGTGTATCAGCAGACTAGAATAGACACACTGAGGAAATTCATCTCTGTGTGTTGCAAGGAAATTCTTTATCGGTTGCTGGGGAAAAAAAGCAAATGTTCCATCTAAATGCTGGCGTTTCCAAGATGATCTGGCCCGAAAAGAACAAAAACACAATCTCACACATTCACAAGTACCAGGCACTGTAGGAGACACAAACAACACACCCCTTTGAAAATGCATTGTCCATAAAGAGCTCCAATTGGCACTATATGCCAACAAGGTCATCACTACATTACAACATACTACAGATGTGTCCTTCATAGTTTTGGGGATTCTTTAGGACCTTTTCCAGCATAAATACTGACTTTGTGAGGACCAGGACACCTTATGGAGACCAGAGTCAGGTCCTTATGAGGCAAAGGCTCATTACTGAAGCTTTGGGGTAACAACTTTAAATTGGGTTAAGATCAAGGATAAGGTTTTGGTGAAGCTGTCGACATTGACTGGAAATCCATGCAAAGTACTAAAAGGGATGGCTGCCCAATACTGTGTGTGTGTGTGTGTGTGTGTGTGTGTGTGTGTACTTGTGTTGTTTAGGAGCACTTTGAACGTAAACCTTACTGAGTGAGGACATTTTGTCCAGTCAACACTTTTTAAAGGGGGTGCTAAGGGTTGAGACTTGCTCTAGAGTTAAGGTTAGAGGTAGTTGACATTTAGTTGTTATGGTTTAGGTTAGGGGGGGTAGGGAATACATTATGCAAATGCATACTTCCCCTAAAATAGAAGTACACTTATGTGTGTCTCCATTCTGTACCACTTCCAAGGAACAGACGTCTGACTGCATTTACTGTGATCTGTTTGAACAAGAACAATCTTGACACATACTTGTTTGTCCAATGTAATCTGCCATAATCTCTTGCGCTGCCTTCACTCTTTGGGGCCACTCACAGCCTGGTCTCACTTTTTTTTTTTTGCTATAAACTATGTTTAGCTACAAATACACAACACTACACCTCGACAAGTCACATCAGACGAAATGGAAACTACAGAAGAAGAAAAACAACAGAGTGAGGAACAGCTGACTCTGCGAGAGAAAGTTCATCACTCACCATTGCTGCTGTTCATTGTAACTTAGGAAACACACGGAACTAAATGTACAGACGTGCAGCTTGAACTCCACAGAACCATGAATAAAACCCACGGGACAACTTCCACGGCCCGGAGGACCGAGGCTGGAGCTCCTACCTCCCATTGGATGAGATCCCCCCGCTCCTGTGATCCTGCTCGGCCTCGAAAACGAGCCGAGCGACGTTGCGAGGCGCGATGTTAAAATCCACTTTCTCGCAGGAACACATCAACATTGTCCCACGCGTGAAGACTCATCTGCCGGCCGCGGCTAACCGTTAGCTTGTAGCCGGCTAACCCTGACAAAAAGCACCGGAGTTTTTAGCTAGCGTCCCCCCCCCTCCCTCCCGCACACACACACACACCTCCCTGACACCAGCCCCCCCACCTAACAAAAAAAAAGGAAAAGACGACTATCTGGTTAACAGGGTTTCATTTCCAGCTAAGAGCCGCCTCCATGTTCTACTTTAAAAACACCCCGAGAATAAAACACTGGTTTCAAAGCTAAGCCCCGGAGTTAGCTTGACGCGGCTAGCACGCTAACTTGGGTTAAAGTTAGCGGACGATGCGTTTTTTTGTGAGATAAGTGTAAAGAGACAAAGTCAGTCAGTTGGACCATTCACACAGGATGCGAGGGGGGGGGGGGCGGACTTTACACGAAGAAAAAGCTATTATCAACATCACCTGAAACGAGACACTCAACCCAGCAAATATAAATATCCACTTTATATTACATGTGTACATTTACTTTTACCCGTTAGTTTTGTTGTAAAATACAAACAGCCACAAGATGGAGGGAGAGGAACACCCCTTCTGTTGAACTTAGTGGTACAGTCCGAAAAAAAATAACTGTCCAGTAGATGTGGTGACATCAAACAAACACGATCTACGAGGAGGCGCTTTGATCTTTTACCAGATGTTGTCTCATCGATTCGCTCGACTTACACAAGCACCTGTGTTGATGCCGTCGCGTTATTTTAACGCTTGTTTTTTATCGCTACGATGGAAACAAACGCGGAGGTGTCATCGAAGTCATTTCGTTCTAGCGCAAACTTGCGAACGTGCTACATGATAAGTTACACGCGCGTGGAGGAGCAGTCGCAGATTTTGGTTCATTTTCTGAGTTCATGTGAAGGGAGCTGGTGCGTGGCCAGAACAAAGTACACATAGACAGTGCGACCCCTTGCGTCTGACGAGGGAACATGCAGGCATTGTTTGTAACATCACTAACTTCACTAAATTACTGTTAACTCGCACATGTGACCTCATGTAAGCAGAAATGATGTTTGTAATTTAGTGGCTCGGTGTGCTCATCTCACCTCCTGCGTCCTCCTGCTGCAGCATTGTTTCATCTGGTCTCATGAACAAGTCGGATGCAGCCTGTGAGATATTGGATATCTTCTCCAGGAAACATGCAGTAAACAGGGCAGGTCACCTTGTCCCGAGCTGAAAACAAAACGATGACAAGACGCCTTTAGTTGGGATGATGATGGTGATGAAAAAGTTGCATATTTTTACCAAATACATGCACAGATTGTAAAAATAAATTGAAATGCTGTTGAATGTAGGGCAGTAAATCACAAGTATTTTCATTACTGGGTCATTTTTGAATCAATAAATCAAATAATTGAAACTCTTCAGATTCTAACTGAGCACCACAGGGTATCTCAATTGACTGAATGGTGTAAAATGTCCATCACAGTTTTTTTCTGACCAACAGTTAAAAATTCAGTTTATAACACACGAGATATAGAAATGCAACAAATCCTCACGACTCAGAGCCATTTTTCTTTTAAAAAATGCAACACGCTTCTGTTTATAAACCTTTTTAAATGTATTTATCGTCTCAGCTCTTGTGAATTGAAAAGAACCCAATAGTATTAGTATACTTTGCAAGAAGTACTCCATTGTCACATTTCTAATGCCTGCACCACAGAATAAACACACACACTTTGCATCTTTCACACTTATTTCCTTAATGTTTGTGCACTGGCTGCACTGGTCTTTTTAAAGCAGCACAAATCGATACACAGCAGATATCCTCGTACTTCAGCAACTACATTTTAGAAGCTACACAAAAAAGCAGAGAAGTTTGTGGCTCTGAGGGAGGCAGTCATATCATCCCTTTTCATTTCTAGGGAATACACACATTCAACAACATACATCCTGTAAATCTTTTCCATATTAGATGTGTCTTTACCTGCCTGTGCGTTTTTTACTCCTCAGCTAGCAGGTGCTTCTGTGTCCTTTCAAATCGATAGCAGAGCATCACAATGACTTGGCAATTTCACATTCTCCATAGATTCACCAGGCATCTTGTGTCTTCTCCCTCCTTGGGACTGCATCCTGAAATCAACACTTCACCGGCTCCACTTCAAAACAGAGGGATGAGCTGTGTGTCACCAAGGCAGCCAGAGAGGGAGTTGTGTTGCTGAACGCTCCTGGCTGCTGAATCGGAGACTGGAAACTCGATCTGGGCTAAAAATAAAAAAACATCACCAGCATTGCCAGAAAGGAGGTGTGTCACTCACTGTGTGTATATGTGTATGTCTGTGTAGGGTCACAGAGGTGCAGCCCACCCCAATATACTCCACACACACACTCTACAAACACACACACACATACTCTAAACATGGAGTTTATCACATGTCAACATTTCCATAAGGTTTCCCCCCCGCATGAGTGTGCCAACCCAAGGTCTGTTTTTTTCTCCAGCCTCTTGTGATCACATGTGAATAATTTCCACAATGGCAGTTCTTCAGCGTCATTATCATTTGAAGGCAGGCACAAGGTCAAAAGAGGCAAGGACCCTTATGTAGAGCTGAGCTGTCATCTGGTTACATCACAGGACAACATCCCTGACCTCCAGCACAGCCAAAACACACACACGCACGCACGTGTAAACACCCACACACATAAACATGCATACACACGAACATGTCCTTGTACACTAATACACACACACACACACACACACACACACACACATGATGATCCTACATGAACACATACACATCTCCAAACACACACACTAATTAAAATACACATGCATATACAGATACATTTACATATAAACACACATGAACACACGCGCATACACATGAACACACACACACTGTTTGGCAGAAACACTGGTACGATCCTTCACGTCCTTTTGAAATGTTTGGACGTCCTCAGAGTGGAACATGTTTAATTTGACCTGACGTCCCTGAAGACGTCCTTCTTTTAAATAAATAAATAAATATAACTCATTACATTCATCACGTCAACACGCTGCAGCTTAATCAACCACGTGAATCTTTTTGTCAGCACACAAGTCGAGGCCTTCAGTCAGTGTGTGTTTTCTATATATTGTACATATTTCACGCTGAGAGAAAAATGACTTTGATATTAAATTCATGGGAATCTGTGGTTTGCAGAGTTGACACCTAATACACTGGATGAAGGTACTTTATTTTCATTGCTTACTCACTGAGATACTTTCATGTATCACTGCTAAAGCGTCCTTGAGCAAGACGCTGAATCCCTGACAGCCACAGGGAGCTGGAGCTTTTCCGTGACCTCTGACCTGAGGATGGGGAGCAGCAGAACAGAGCATTTATTTACAGACATATATCCATCCATTATAAAAAGTGTTTATCCTTTGAGGGTCGTAGGGAGGGGGCTGGAGCCAATCCCAGCTGACAGGCAAGAGGTGGGGTACACCCTGTACAAGTCACCAGCTGACGTACAGAGAAACAACACACAACACCAGATCGTTTCCACGCACACATGGCGAGAACACTCCACTCGGAAAGACCACGGCAAAGCTGGGATTCAAACTTGTGAATCTTCTTGCACAGAAATCCCACCCAGACAGAAAAAGGTGGGAAAGGCAGAAAGGTTCGATCTAAACTGTGCTGTAAGTGTAGTTGTGTCTTTCAGGCCTGAGCGGCTCGACTCTCAGCACCTGTTTGAATAAATTTGTTTAACAAAATATGTCAGAGGTGATTTTTCAAGTCTGACCTGCTTCTTTTTTATCAAATAATGAATGTGAATAAACACACACACACACACTCGCACACTTTGCATCTTTCACATTTATTTCCATAATGTTTGTGCAATGGTTTTATGTAGTGGCACTTTCGGCCACTACATAAAACCATTTGATAAGAAAGTATAATAAACAAAGTCTGTACAACATTTAATTTTATTCTTTAGTAACTTTCTATAATAACTAAAATAAACCACAAAAAATCTAAAATAAAATCTTTACGTATAAGAGAGAATATTTCTTAGTTAATCTATAAATCAGAAGAGGCATGGCTGTAGTCTTGTTTTGGACGGTCATGTTGTAGTTATGAATCAAGTTTCATCATCTCAGATTTCCTGCTGCCTTTCAACACTCAAAACGTCCGACTCTCCTGGATTCACACGCTCTAATTATAGCTGCCTTAACGACAGTCAGGACATCAGGGGAGACTTAAAACTACTGCGAGGGAACAGGGAGAGATTTTTTTTTTTTTTTAACAATTTCTGCGTCCTCACATGATTTAGAGGCTTCCTCCTTTTTGCCCAGTGTGAGGGTAAGATTGTTGAATTCATGGACTGACAGTGTGGATTTAAAAAGTTGGACTGGTTCACTTTGAGGAACATGGAAAGAGTCAGCGATCAGACGTCGTTATGTCAGTGAAGTAGAATTGTTGCAGATCTTTCTCCTGGTTGAGGAAAGTTCAACATTCTGTTCAGCTGCTGGTGATAAGTTGCTCCAACAGAAATGATTTGCTGCTTGTCTCTTTTTGTCGTCGTCAGCCTCTTTGGTAAGTCCCGAGTCAGTGAGGTCTGTGGCTCCAGTTGCAAACTGGACAAAAACACTTAAAATGTCTTTTAAAAGTTCTCAGATCTGTCTTATTAAATTTCTTAAAAAAAACACTCCTGTGATCACTGTTATAGAAGGAATCAGTCGACTGTAAATAAAATGTGCATTTTTATTAAAATATTTTGTTTTTGTAGAAACAACCAGCATTTTTTAGGATAATTTGTTCACTCTCGGTGATTTCACACGGCTTATATCCTTATATTTTATATGTAAATGAGTTATGGATAAGTGTATCTATAAATATGAACGTCTTTATTTCATTGGACTTTTTTAAACTAGAAAAACCATCCAGCAGGTGTTTACCTCCAACAACCAGTACATACATTTTTTTCCAGACTCATGTGAGGTCACGGTGACCTTTGACCTTTGACCACCACAATGGAATCAATTAATCTGTGAATATTTGTACCAAATATGTAGAAATGACCTCAAGGTGTTCCTGAGATGTTGCATTAACAGGACTAATAACATGATGGGATTGGGACAGTGATCAGTAACTTTTTTCCTCTTTAATCTGTTCAATTCAATCTAATCTCATTATTTTATTTTCTCATGCTCCTCGTTCTTGTCATTTGTTTAATTATTCTCCTGTGTCTCATTTTCTTCTACTTAATCCTCCTCTTCTCTTCTTCTGTTCTTCCCCTCCCGCAGTGTCTCAGTGTCACGGCGGCTGTGCGGAGGTGGACTCTCTGACCGAGGCCGTGGCAGGAGACAGATTCCTGCTGGGCTGCATCTCCTGTAAGAGGAGAGAGGAGGTCTCTGCCCGAGCCACCGTGGACTGGCACTTCAAACCAGTGGAAGAGGAGGAGTTCAGGCATGTGAGTCGAATGATGATCCTTTTTTTAATAAGTCAAGTTTTTAACGTCTCTACATCTGTATTTTCTTAAAACTTTGGAACATGGACAGATGTTAACTTGACATTTTTGTTTCAGTTGCAGTCAGACATAAAACATCCAGATTCATGCTGTTTGTACATCACAGGCATGTACTACATATTTATGTATATAATACATATATTTACATGATCACATCCACAAACATATAGATTAAACAAGTTTTTATCTTTTTATGGTGACCTCCGACCACCAACATTGAATCACTACGTCTTTGAGCCCATTTAAATTATTTTACCACATCTGTATCAATTACCCATCGAGGCGTCCTCGAGTGTGCAGGAGTAATCATTTGGATTTAGGTTGGATTAAGTTGCATAGTATGAAAATACTCTAACATGCCTATTGGATTGCATAATGAATGAAATAGCAAGTTAAAAAAACAAAAATGTTGTGCTGGTGGAAGATTTTCCAAAACTTGGTAACCCCAGATCTCTTCTTATTGATGAGATGTGATAAGTTTCAATACTGTACTTTATATAAAGCCTTTATTAACGGTGGAAGTTCTTCTGCTGTATTTACACTTCTCAAACCTTCCCTGAGTCATTAGACTATTATCATTGATGTCTTTTTCTCAGATTTTCCACTATGACCACCCCAGTGCTGAGATCCTGCACGAGGATTTCAGCGAGCGTCTCGAGTGGCATGGGACCCAAAACAGTGATATTCAGACAGGAGCCATTTACCTTCACAACGTCACCTTCAACGACACGGGGACGTACCGCTGCACCTTCCACCGCACCCTCTTCCTGGCGATCTCTGACGAGCAGGTCGTCGTGGAGAAGGAGGTGGAGCTCAGCGTGGTGGCTGTGGGTGAGTTGGCGGGATATCTTCAGGTGGAAATATACACAAGCTGTAAAACATGACATTACAGGCTCTTGGATTTTAAAAGAACAATACCCATCAAAAATGAAAATGAAATGGTGACTGTTGATGTGGGACTTCACCTGTATACTTACTTTGTCTTTCAATAGAGATGTGTTTGTTTAATGTTCGCAGCCAATCGGGAGCTGACGTCAGTGGTCGCAGAGATAATGATGTATGTGCTGATCCTGGTTCTGCAGCTGTGGCTCATTGTGGTTCTGGTCTACTGCTACAAGAAGATTTCAGCTGAGCACGAGGCTCGGGAGGCCCGTAAGGCTCAGGCAGAGTGAGTCTGTCTTCTATATGATGTTTCACATCTCAAATTCAAGCCATCACACTCTCAACTGGGGTTTTCAATGATGCCATCAGATTTAATCATAGTCTAAATAATTCAAGTTGTCTTTGTATGTTTCCAGACTGTTGGAATCTAAAGACACCTGTGACGGGGTGCAGCTGGAGTAACACTGACAGTGAGTTCCTGTGGATTTTATGCTTCGAGCCACCTTCAATCAAATCAACATTTTTTAGGACTCATTAGCGAAGGCATCTGGTTTTCTTCTATTTTCTTGGCACTTTTGTGTTTTGATTTATTTATTCTGTATCCACCAGGTTGGAAGATTATCTACCCGAGAGTTAAGCTTTCATTTCCGCTCCGTGACGACAACAACAACACAACTGCTGCGGAGGAGGAGGTTGATTCTTGGTCGTATTCAGTCGAACGGGAGAATTTAACACTTTTTAAATTGTTTTTTTAAAGGACGATAAAAGTGTTTGAAAACTTATGGCCTTCAGTGCAAGAATCCAACGAATTACAATTTTTTATTGTTCATGTTCATGTAGCATTACTTGAAATACCTATCGAAAGTATACAGAGAATAACAGACATCCTAAATGATCGGTTTCTCCAGGATCTCCAGATGCGTGTTAATACCTAAGCTGTTTTAAATAAATGGCTCCAGCTTGTTTACATGTCAATGCAGCCCAGGATTTTAATGGAGGATATTGTTAAGTTGTCTTAAGCACAGATGTTATTTCCTTCATCTGATCTTCTAATTATCTGAGTTTTATTTGAGGTTCTCTTAAATTGAATCCACATGTAGGAAAGAAAGTCTTCAGGTTCTGTGTTTTACACAGGTACTGGATAATTAGTGTGAAACCAGTTTGTCTCACGCAGACCACAGTGTCATATAGAGGAATGAACGAAGTGGATCTGGATTAAGAAAATAACAAGAAGAGATATTTAGTCGCATATTTTCTTCTACAAAGCAGAGGCGCTCTGTGAGAGCGAGCTAAAGGACATTTAGAGGTGATTGTGTTGTAACTCAATCTCGTCTGAGACTCAGGCTCTGGTCTGAAAGCAGCTTTGTTCTCCTGCATCAGCCAGAAACTACCACACACCCCAGCTCCCACTGCAAAGGATGATGATTTTTGCCCCTGATTAAATGACACAGTGGTGAGACTGCTGTTTATTCCACATGCAGTTGTAGCATAAATACATGACATGTTTTTCTTATGATGTCCACTGCCTGCGTGAGATCTGATGTAAATTAAATATCTTTGCTCAGTGAACTGACGAGTGTTGCAGAGCTCCGTGGTTTGAGTCACGCTACACCGCTGCCTCACGACACCGAGCTTTTGACCTTGCCCTGTGACCTCCTTGTTTCATTAAACGTGTTGACATGCAGAACGTGCAGCATGTCTCCTTCACGTAAAACCAGGGAAGAAGGGCAGACGTGTGGGACGAAGAGAACAGGGGTTGAACATTTTTTGCTCTGTGTCGTTTGGGAAACGTGGACGGATCAGATGCTTCTCATCCTGCTGGAGACTTGAAATGACTGATGCCAATAAGAGCAGGAACTGATTCTGGATCGTTGAAAGGTGGGATTATTTCTCTGTACTGAAGGAAGCTGAAACAATAATGATGTAGATTTTAAAAAATCATGACGTAGATATGTCTAGTTTCCTCTCTGAACACTGAAAGTTCACCCGAGGTTAAAAATACATAAATGCAAATTTATTAGAAAATGAGTCTCCTCCATGAAATGTGTTGGTTTTTTGTGTTTCCTTCTCCTGGATGAGTTTTATTAAAACTACTGTGTAATGTGCCTCTTTTTCTTTAGCTTCTAATTCCTGTATTAAAGTGGGAGACCAATTTTAAGTGCATGTACATCTCCCACCTAGTTCCTTCATCTTTCTTCTCATGTCATAACATGAATTGATTTAATCCAAATTGGGTTTTAGGGGAGTATATGTAAAAGCTTCTGGCAGAATTGTAAATTCAAGTCATCTGCAGCTCAGATATCCTGCTTTTCTATTAGTCTGTCATCTCTAGGGTGTTGTAAAGGAGTAAGAATTTACATATTAAAGATGTGTAACAATACTTCATTTAAGTATAAAGCAGCTGTTATATATTATGTTGACTTGTTCATCCAAACTTTTTCCAGCAATGTTGAAACCCAGATTTAATTTCATCAAAATGTTTTCTCTTTAGCAGTGGCTCTGCTTTAACTCCTGAGTAATTATGTTTGACAAATGAAAAACACACTGTGACCCTGTCCACTGTTTGTATCAGTCACTCGTATTGGATCAAGATTAATCTTTGTTGTTTGCTGCAAAAGGTAAAAAACTCTTGAATGCGTAACCTCATTACTTACACCTGAGTTGTATCAGGTAGATTCTCATCAGCAATGGTGGTGGAGATAACAACTCCCATGATCCCATGCTGCTTTAGGACTTCATCAAACAGGACTTTTGTTTTTGTTTTGACTTAGGGACCCCCTAGTGGCAGAAGTTACACACTGTACATTTAAATAAAACAAAATAGTGTAGTGATAAAGAAGGAGGAATAGTTTTTCTCATTGTCTTCTTCTTCCTCAGTTGCAGGTTGCTGAGTGTCCAGCGGGGGTCACCATGTCTAACATGAACGTCACTGAGCTGCAGTCGCTCCTGCTGTCCTTCCTGCAGCACTGCCTGAACAGCACAAGAGTGCTGTCTCCACCGATACCTCAGAACCACACCTCCCAGCAGGCTGTGCACTACGCGACTGGAGCCACGGCCCACGCTCAGTCTCAGGGATTCCTGTACATCCTTCTGGTGGTTGGCTTGTTCAGCTTCTTCACGTTCGGCATCATGCTCAGCTTCATTCGCTCCAAGAAGCTGGAGAGCTCTCACGACCCGTACCACCAGTACATCGCCCGCGACTGGACCAAGGTGACGACTCCCTCCAGGGCCGTCGCTCAGGCTCTGCACAGGGAGGCTGCAGGAAGCGGAGCCAGCAGCAAGGACCCAGTCATCATCTGCAACCCTGCAACACTGGATCAGCTGTCAGACTAGAATTAGACATTTCACACTTTAAAATAACCAAACACAGAAACACTTTTAAACAAGATCTTTAATTACCCTAACTTTAAATGTCACATAGCAACGAAAAAGTTCCAGTGATAGGTTTGTATTTTAAGATCAGTGATTTCACAGAAACAACTTTTATCATTAAAAATCATTGATTCAGATTGTGAGCAAAGCAGGTGAACAAGTCTGGGTCAGATATTTGTAATAATGATGGTTCAAGTGGGAGAAAATAAATATTCTTTATGGTCACATAAGCCGTGTTCAGACATTTTCTGACGATTGACTCCTTTCCCATTGCCAGTAGAGGAGTTTGCTTTTATGTTTTTCCCCAGTGTCTCATGTTCAAACGTCATCAACACGCTCAGACACTTTCCTGCTGTTTTCTCACTCAGGCTCACTCTCAATTTTTCTGGACATTTTAGAGGGGGTGGCAGGAAATGTTACAGAACTTTTGACTCAAACATATGTGTTCTCACAAACAGCCCCTCTGGAAAATTACAGGACAAATCTTAGTGCATGTCTGAAAGCCCTTTTCAGATTTTTAATGTTTTCATCTGAATAAATTCTGCATCCATGACACAAGACCTTGTTTGGTGTTTTTAGGATAAGTTACGGTGTTGGCTCTTTTTTTCTCTTCCTTTCTCCTCTGTCGTTCTTTCTCTCTCTCTCTCTGCTGCTCCAGTCTGTGTTGGTGGGCTCCTTTCACAGCACGGTCGATCTCTCTGGACATGCTGAAGTGAACCATTTGCATGTTGAGCATCGGTACAATGAGGTTGTAATTGTCCACCATCTTGTTCAGTTTCACCAACTGCTCTTCTACAGATGCACACAGCTGATCCCACTGGCTGTGCTCCATGGGGCTCATGGGGTCACCGAGCCTGGCCCTCCCCTCCAATAACCGCTTTCGGAACTGAGCAGTCATCTCTCGGATGTCGCGTTGTGTCACGACCCAGGCTGGCTGGTAACCATTGTCTATGAGGATGCGGTTGAGGTTGTGGGTCATAGGATCAGCGTACGGATTGTGCTCAAACTTGTTGAGGGGCTTTCCAGCTCCACTCAGGTTCCTGAAGTCCCCGCGGGCCATGGACTCCTGGATCAGGTCCTCCACCAGCCGCTCCACTGCCTGGGTGATCTTGATCTTCCTGCTGCGCTGACGCATATCCCGTTCCACAAGAGCTCCCTCTGCAGCTGCTGCCCTCTCATGCTCCCTCTGCCGGTAGTTCAAAATCTCCTCAGATGCCCGGTCGACACGAATCTGCCGGTACTGACGCTCTCGCTGGCTGGGAGTGCCTGAGCCTATACCGTCATAGCTGAGGTAGTGTCTGTGTGGAAGTGCTGCACCTCTGGACCTATCCTCCTCTTCCACTTCCTTCGCCCAGTCAGCTGGTTTGGTCTTACTCTGATGTGCCAGCACAGTGCGGTAGGCCTCCTCCACGCGGGCAAACAGTGCTGAATCTGCGGTCGGAGCCCCAGAGTCTGGGTGGTACAGTTTCGCCAGATGCAGGTAGGCCTCCTTCACCTGCGCAGGACTGCTCTGTCCCTCATCAGGCAGCTGCAGGAGCCTGTAGCTCTCTTGCAGGCTGCGGCTGATTTGGGCACGAGAGCTGAGTGATCTGAGCAACAGGGACTGTCGAGTCAAGACGAGCAGGAAACGGCCGTGATAGATGTCACTGCGAGAAGCCAGGAGGAGGAACGTGCAACTCATGTCTGAAAAGCAAAGGAGTTACCTCAGTCAGTCAAGTTAGAAGATATCTTACAATAAATACATTTTCTATTAGTAAGCAATGACGAACCAGAACAGACCACCAGTAGTATAGAGAATAAATAGAGTATATAATCTAGTCACGATACATGATAGAGACATGATGGAAACATGACGGAAACATGACGGAAACATGATGGAAACATGATGGAAACATGATAGAAACATGATAGAAACATGATAGAAACATGATGGAAACATGATAGAAACATGAAAGAAACATGAAGGAAACATGATAGAAACATGACGGAAACATGATGGAAACATGATGGAAACATGATGGAAACATGATAGAAACATGATGGAAACATGATAGAAACATGATAGAAACATGATGGAAACATGATAGAAACATGATAGAAACATGACGGAAACATGACGGAAACATGATAGAAACATGATAGAAACATGACGGAAACATGACGGAAACATGATGGAAACATGATTAAAGACAGTCTCGTCTCCTGATGAATAAAATGATCATAGAAACTTCAGCACAGACCTGATGGTTTGAGAACCTCCGGAGAAAAGTGTTACATGACCAAACAGTGTTTACATGACCAGAGGACAGAGAGCCACTTCTTCTTCTGATCAGACCCCACACCACCAGGCCCATCACCGCCACCTACTGGACTGGAGTGTGAACACATGATTGTAACATTGCAAAACATGGCCGAAAAATTATGTAAAACACACACACACACTCTCTCTCTCTCTCAAACACACACAGACACACTCTCTCTCTCTCAAACACACACACACACTCTCTCTCTCTCACACACACACACATAAGTAAACAATATATTTTTGATTAGAAGTTTGGCATCTAACAATTGAAGGTATTATCGCCATCTACTGGACTAGAGTGTGAACGCATGATTGTAACATGCAGAAAATGTTGGGAAAAAGTTTTTAAATATAAATCTTCATTTACAAATACAAACACACACACGAACCACAAAATATAAACTGTTGCTACTGCTGCTTCCTCTTCGGATCAAAAGGTTGGCCTCCAACAATGAAATACATGTAACCTGCAAAAAAATGGTGGAATAAAGTTTAGGTATCTTCATATACAAATACAATTATACAATAATCTTCTGATTAGGCATCAAGCAATTAGGTGTATTACCACCACCTACTAAATGGAGAGTGAATCTATGATTTTCAAAGACAAAAAAATGTTGTCCGAGCTTTATGAGTGAAAAGCAGAGGACAGAACACTTTGGAAAGGTTCCTCTCTTCTTTACTGTCTCACGACCACTCCTGCACAGTTCCTCATCTGAATGTATAGCATTATATCATTATAAATACTTCATATACAATGTGTAAGACTCTCCATCCATGCACTACAAATATAAACACCACAAACAGAAATCAAAACATTTTATTATAAATTTAAAAAACATTTGAATGAAGTTCCAACAACAAATTATCTTTAAAAAATCATTTAGCATATCAGGCATACAAGAGAGTTTAAAACTTGCTTTACATGCAAACATTGGGCATAATAGTAGTTTTTTAATCAATTAATTCTTCATGATTATCAGATCAAAACTTTCTACATGTTGCTTTAAACCTGACAGGTGTCTCATGACATATGATTGTTAAAAAATTAAAAAGTAATTAAATTCAACCTTGCTGATGAGGACAAAGAAGAAACTTAAGAAAATTAAGAGCAACAGTTCTGATAAACATTAAAAAAACCCAAGTAGATAAAATCCATTAACATCTATACTTCATCATCACAAGTCATGTTTGTTCAAGAAATGGATTTCACCAACAACTTTTCTATTGTCTCTGCAGGTCATCTACGAGATATGGTTCATTTTTCTTAAGGATTTTGTAGAAGATGTCTTTGCAGGTTTCACTGGCTTTCAGGGATGTAGAGAAGAGCTCCCTCATCTTCTCCTGAGAGGTCGCCAGAGCCCGGATTTTATCATAAGCTTCTTGCTGGATGACATTTTTCTCCAAGAGCTCATCCAGAATTGGTCCAACGTTGCTCACTCTGCTGATCAGCTGACATTTATGTTGGTCCACAAAGTGCTTTTCTGAGGAAAAGAGGAGATGAAGTTAGAACCAAACACTTAAGACTTTTTTTTTTGGAATCTTTAAGAACTTCTTCCTTCTACAAAAGAGATGCAGATGAGTGAAATTCCGTAAATATTCAATAGAGACAATGCATGTTGTGGTTAGTCTGAGAGTCGGATAGTAGCACCACTCTCTATATTTCAGTTGTTCTTGTGCTGTGTGGAAATTAAACACAAACATGACGCACACAACTATATGATGCCTGCGGAACACTAGTGGATTATCGGCCCAAGTCTGGGGCTGATGGAGTTCTCTCTATCACTGCAGGGGCGTTGCAGATTTGAGGCTGATCTAGATGATCTGGCTGAATGATCCTGTAGTGTGCGGGGTTTACAGACACAGGCTACATCCACATGACTATGTTTTCATTTTAAATGTAACGTTACCTAAGCACACACAGTGATGTTTACATTATTTTTCGTTACCCTAACCCTCCAGAGTAGAAGTCTTTTAGTGACAAGATGTCGTACTACCTGAGCATCCACCCTCTGCCTTTCCGCTTCCATCATTTGCTCCACATGAGGCTCTTGCAGCTGAAACTAATTTTGGGAAATGATTCAATTATTGATTGGTCTGAGGTGAGTTTTTATGCATATAAACTGTTTTCTCCAAACACAAAGCAAGCACACAGCTTTATTTCATAGTCTAATGACAAAATCAAAGATTAGCAGGTGTTGGTGAACCAATGGAAAATCAAGTGGTATTCTATTGTGTGTTCTTCTCTTCTACTTTACATAGATATGATATTATTGATAAACAGTTTTCTGACTGAACTTGTCTGAACATCTATGATGTCAAAGAACCTTCTATGGTCAAATTAAACGGTGAAGTACAGTCCAAAGTAAATGTCCACTTTGGAGAAGACGGAAACTTCATGTGAAACTGCAAAAAACAGAAACGAACTCACCGTCACTGGATCCAGAGGATTGTTTAGCTACCTCCTCTTCTGCAAAAAAAACAACAGACAGTTAAGTTCTCTTTAAGTGATAAAGACACGTAGGCTTCATGTAAAAAAACATTTCAGTAGAGTTGAGTGTGGCAGTGAAATATGGATGGGGAGTAATACAGGACAAGTGAGGTGAGTGACTCAGTGTATAAAAAACCACCAGGGATTGTGGGCATTGGGAAAATATTACATTAACCAGGTACATCGCTCTTATTACTAGTTCCATCCGACGAGCAGAGCCTCACAAGAAATATCCAAAAGGGCAATAATTTATGAGGAACTGACCACTAAAAATATTAAAGATGAATAAAGTTATATATAGCCTGTGACACGCGATTGCTGTTATACATAAAATGAGGCACATATGGTGCTCCATAGGACTACGCCAAAAATGACATGAAGAAATGACATGGAAAACTATTTGGCTTCTCCAAAATACATTTCCTGTGCTCCAGTGGGTAAATATCCATCCCACCAAAACAAATCTATCCAGGATTTATGGATATTGATAACATTTGTGAATTTTGTAGGACTGAAGATAAATCAGCTAAACACATGGATGTCAATACATCTGGAGAAGTTCAGGATTTTCTCATTACACAAACCAATCATTAATTTGAGGTCGGAGCTAAAGCTGCAATATGCATTGGAATCATTTAGAATTTCATTTAAGATGCAGACTGCTCTGACTTTACTCTGGGCACTAAAACAGGATCAATAGCTATTACACATTTTTTATCATCAATAGCAGCATAAAGTTCAATCTTCATCGATATAACGCGTCCACAGATTTGTAGAAAAGTTATTATCTGCTTGGTTTAAAACCACAAAGTTCACTAAACTCCAGGAGCAAAAACATCTGCCTAAAAAATAGTTAAACACAATCATAAACATGACTCTAATGTGAGTCTTTTCAAACTCTGCAGAAATGTTATTAATTTCCTAACTCTCTTGTTAAGCTAATACAATCGATCTATTATTGTTTATTATAGTTTCCAATTCTCCTTTTCATTATGATCACACATCAAACTTTTCATCACAATATGCTTGTACCACTGACATGTATGTATTTTATCATGGATTCATTATTTAATTTTTGTAATGGACACAAATGTTTATTTTTCCTGTAAATACGTGTCAATTAGTTTTGTTTGTCTTTAATCATGCATGTGGACTTTGCAGACATTCTTCTACTACTTATCTCTCCAGACAGTCTTTTACCGAGTCTTTCTGCGTCCTGGTTGCAGTCGATGTCTCTGAGAACCTCCACAGCCACAGGCACCGCTCCTTTCTCGGTGAAAGTGGAGACCAGGACGTCGGTGAGCACCAGAAAGTCCTTCCCCTCCACCCGCCTGAGTCTGACCCGAGGCTCCCCCCGGCGGTCCACGAGCTGGTGGCGGAACTTCTGCAGGTCCTGCTCGGACAGATCCTCCAACGTGTCCACTAAAAGCTTCCTGACAGTCTTTGGCGCCATGGCTCACAGACCGTCTGTCGACCAGAAACGAAAGTGAAAGAAGGAGTGATGGTGCTGCCTTCACGTACTGTCAGAAATACCAAAATTGGTTTTCTTTTTTATAATTTGTTTGTTAAGCTTTATTAAAACGCGTACAGACATACAGTTAATCTATTTAGTTTTTCTGGGAAATATCAAATAGTTCATAAATGGTTTACAATCGTATTAAATATTCCACACAGAGGCTGTTGGTTGGTTATATAGTTTGTTGTTGGTTGGTTGATTTGTTGGTTGGTTGCTTGCTTATAAGGTTAGTTGGTTGGCTGGGGGATTGGTTGGTGGGTTATATTGTTGATTGGTTATCGGTAGGTACCTGGCTGGTTTGTTGGTTGATTGGTTGGTTGGCTGGTTTGTTGGTTGGTTGGTTGATTGATTGGTTGGTTGTCAGTTCGTTGCTTGCTTACATGGTTGGGTGGTTTGTTTTCCCGACGTCATTGAAAGCAGCTTGCTGGGCGGGGCCATAGACTGTTGACCCCGTCTATCCAACTTTTACATTTTGGCGCTGACTTTAAAATTTTGGCGCCTAGTCTCACTTTAACGAAATAAAATCTCTTTAAAAACATCGATGTGAACAACACGTGCGGGCTGCTGAGAGATGGAGCGCACAATAAAAACACGCGTCTTGCAGGCCCTGGAGGATCTGAGCCGTAAAAACCTGGAAAAGTTTTGTTTCCACCTGAGGAACCGCGGGGACAAGCCGAAGATCAGGACCCGAGAGGTGGAGAAGAAGAGTCCCGTGGAGATCACAGACCTCATGGTTTCTAAATTCACCGCAGTGCGAGCTGTGAAAGTGACCGTGGAGACACTGAGGCGGATCGACTGTAACCAGGAAGCTGAGACACTGGGTGAGTCATCACTCACCTTTCGGCGAAATTCGCCGTTTTGGATCCAAAATAAGTGACCTACCTGAACCGTGTAGATCCGATGTATTTATTTATTTATTTATTTTTGGGGGGGGGGGCAGCAGTATGGCTCCCAAGCATCCGGCAGTGCTCAGCAGACTAAAAGCCGGACAGCTGAAGAAGAGAAGAGGGCAAGGCTGTTTATCTTGTTTCGCCACTGAACCCTGAATTAAAGCTGTGCTGCACATTTCATTGGAGAAGATGCTAGTCTCGTTTCCTATACAGCATAGTTGTCGGCCTTATCCCTTATAACGCATAATGTGAATATGTATAGATTCATACTGTCCTGTAACTCAGCTCGATTTTTCTCTCACAGTGCACCTCATCGATGCTTTTCAATATACAATGTCCGAAAGTTTCGTAAATGTTGCGTATGCATTTTTTATTTCTGCTTGTTATTTGGGATTAGTGGGACCTGTTCAGTGTGAAAACTAAGCATTGTCTTTGAACAAGAAGTCGGTATCGAAAGAAACGATGTCCATATGGGGACAGAAGGATTATTTTGCTGTATAACACAACTAAATCACTGATATACAACTAAGTATAAAATCGTGTGTTGTTATTAAACTCATATAAGATCATTTTAAAATGTAAAGATACATTAGATGCCCTTTTTTTGTATGAACATACCTGTGAACATTGTATTGATCACTCAACATCTCAATGAAACAAGAACATGGCAGTTAAACCTTGATATTGCTCTGTCTGGGAGAGACTCATAACTAACCTTTTTTACTGGCCAACCGAAAAATCAGTTGGACTCTATAGTCAAAAGAAAGTCAAAGTCAGAGAGTCAGCATGCTGCACACTGGAAAATAACATTATTTTTTAAAAACCTGTCATCCTTCTCTACAGAATCGAAGACCAAAGCATGTGTGGACGTAAGTTCAACCTCACAGTGCAATTCAGAGATTCTCTATCACAAGTGGCTGGTCATTAATAAAGACACATTGCTGGATTGTTTTGGTTTTCTTTCTCTTCTATAGACAGGTGATCCCATTTTTTGTAAGACCTCTGATGGGAAGTTGAACACAAAGCCCTCGCAGGAAGCTGAGAACCATGCAGCCAGGCCCTTTCCTTTAAATGCTGTTCAAGGTGCTCCTGTGAAGAGGAAGAGATCCCTTCAGCCAGGCCAAGAGGGAATGGCCCTCGTTGGTTTTGGTGCTCACAGATGGGAGACGCTGCAGGGTCTGTATGAGGACAAGTACAAAATCAGGTTTGATAAAAAAGAGTGAATTGCATCAGATGGTGTTGTTGGTGCATCAGCAGACATTAAAGGCCACTGCTCTCCCCTCTACACACACAGCTATGTCAAATACCTCCGAACAATGGAGTCAGAGTGCACACCTGGGTCCAAGATGGAGGACGCCATCAGATACATTTTACAGCGTGACCAGGAGTTGGCTGCAGCTGGCACTGCTCCCAGCAGGCCATTCACCAGATCCTTCTGCAGGGGACCCAGGAAGAGAAAGAGCAACAGAACCAGTTCCTCAAGGTATGTGTTGTACTCTGGGAAAGTGTTGTAGTACTTTCTTCTACTATCTGTGTATGTAGTGTACTGGAGGTCCTCGTTCTGCATGTTTTTTGAATATACTTTCATTTGATTGATCTCTCCACTATGAATTTAGAACTTGATTCGGATTGGATTGATTTTAAGTTATCATACTGTAGTCATTCATTATTTTTATCTTTTAAATATTATCCTTTAGTTTAACTTATAGAGCAGAGGTCACTAATAGGCGGACACCAGTCTGGTTCCAGCCTCAGAACAATAAACCATAAATCATAAATCATTGTCAAATTTTGTGTGTTAGTGTTTCTGTTAGAACTGGTGCAGCTTTTCTAGCCTTCACAGCACCGGTTCAGCAGCCCAGGAAATGTGACGCAGCTCAGCCAATCAAAGCTTTGAATTCCGAGCAGGGAGTGAGATGGAATGTAAATTTTGAGAAAAGAGTTTTTATTATTTAAGAGTACAAATCGCTTTGGTTCATTGTGAAAACTGGCAATAAGTATTGAACATTTTATAACAGGCATCTCATTACCACTTTTTGCAGGCCGTTTGACATATTTTACACATTAGTGGTCATTTTTTATGTATTAAATGGTATGTCTTCTCAACAAAATTGTTCCTTGTCGAAAAAAGTTGAGGTTTAGTCTCAAGAATGTCCCAGACTTGTTGAAAAAAAAAAAAGTTTTATAAGGCTTGTCTCAACCCTGCATTCTTTTGTCTGTCGCACCTACAGGTCCGTACAAGGGAAGCAGAAAAGGACCGGGTCGAAGACACAACAAACCTGTCTTCTCCGTTTTTGACAAAAACCTCTTTGGTGGCCTCCTGTGGCATACACAACATTTCCGTCAGGATCAATCAAGTATCTTTCTATCTATCTATCTATATATCTATATGTTTATCTATCTGCCTCATTAGATACAAGTATAATCATTCAAAGCCATTTATTTAGGGAGCATTTCTAAAGGACATTCCCTATTTAGAGAAATGTAAAAATGTAATGTAGAAATGCATTACGTGGACGAATGCTTCAGTGCCTAATTGTAGCTTGGACACACTACATCTTCTCTAATTGTGGGAAAAGCCTTCTTACTTGTTTTCACAATGTTATTTAATCCAAACAAATGTACTCTGCAAATAAAGCATGTGGATTTAAAATTGTCAGGGGAAATTCATTCATTGAAGCCGCAGACTCATGGAAGTTTATTATGGATGAAAAAACAAAACTACACTAATGCCTTTATTTTCTGTTGACAATCCTTGTGATGACACTATTCTTGGTAAGGGGTTCATTCCACTTGCTTGAAGAGATCACACATGTTGTACTTCATTGACACTTATTGATTATCTCCACAAAGAGGTTATAATTTAATCTGTGTTTGTTTGTTTGTTAGCAGGATTATGCAAAAACTGGTCAGGAAAGAATCCGTTCTCCAGACCAGGAGAAGGATTCAGGATCGGGTCATGTCTATTTAGTTCTATATGATGCAGAGAAATGTGTTTTTGAACTTTTTGACTTCATAAATCAAACAGCAAACTAAAAAGACAAGAACAGAGCCATGTTGGTTTTACACAACCTGGCAACCCGAAAGCTGCTATTGTTAATGTCTTACAACTGACCTATAAAACATCAGTAAATGTTGTATTAACTATTTATAGCTGCATTAACTAACAGTACCTTGTAAGAGAGTGGTAGGCCTAACCTTAGTAATTTAATATATTAGGATAGATAAAAGTGAAATTGTTGAAAAGTTACCAGAATACCAAATGAGAATGAGACTACACAAACATCTATGTTTATATACAGTTTATTTACACAAAATGATCATCACACAGGCTCAAACCTTCACAGTGGCTGCCTGCAAATGATCTCACTTCATGTTATTCTGATCAGCAACAGAGGTAGACATGAGTTTTGCATAAAAAAATATATAAATGCACAAAACTCTACATATGGGTTTCTATAAACACTATTTACATATCAGTTCCTCCTTAGAAACACATCGAATGAAGATAAGGCCTTTATTCTGCAGTTATTTAGCCCTGAGGTGAAGGAGCCTCATGTTTATGAGTCAGGTATTGGGAGACTTATTATTTCATAGAGAGTAACACGTTGTTTTTAAAGACTGATGGATTGTGACTTTTATGAGTTTTGATTATTTCTTTTCCCTGAAATGCAACATTGAAACGTGCTGGTCACTCTCAGCCAGCAGCACCAGTCCAGTCCTCCATCTCCTACTGAGGCGGCCATGTTTCACTGCTGTGCTCAGACGTCACCGCAGCCGGCACCCCTGGGCACTGCCACGACTCGGTGTTTGTGGGCACAACGTTCAGACTGATCAGGACCTCCTGCGCCGTCTTTCCCAGCATGCCCTGCACGTCGCAGACGAAGCGGTAGACGTAGCGTTTGCCTGCCGTCTTGTGGATGATGTTCTTGTGGTAGTAGTAACGCAGGCCGCGGCTCAGCTTCTCGTAGTTCATCTTGGGTTTGTTCTTGCACTGGCCCCAGCGCTTGGCCACCTGTAAGATCAACAATAACCACTTAGGTGGGCTCAGATTTTAGAAAAACACAGCGGTGGGAGCAGAACGTTTGACACCAAGGGGCAACCCACGGTGGTTTGGTTTGTGAACGGCCACTTGGAAGCCTCGAGTTTAGCATTTTGTCCTGCACCATCTTGTTTTTTTTAAATCAGAAGTATCTATATCTGGAGGAGTGGGGGGTGGAGCCTGAGGACCCTGCACCCACAATGCATTTGGTGCTTTATGGTCTATTTGACTCTAAATAGGACCATAATTTACAAAATGATCATAATAGTGTATTGAAGAAGACTCAAAACTAGAGAGTGACACAATAAACTTTTAAATGTTTACTGGTGTTATAAATCATGTGGGAAGTAATTTTCTCAAAAACGGACTTTTCAAATACTGCCGCCCTCTGCTGGTCATTCAAGACAATACAGGTTTTAGACAACTTCACAAATGGCTTCAATTTCCAGACCCGGACTCTACGTCCATTTTTATATACAATCTATGATTTGAGATGAAATTACTTCAGCAAAACTACAGAAGCGTTGACATCAGAATGTACTGTACGTGTCAAAAGTAAAAGTACGAAATTTGCAGAAAATAGGCCCATGTGTGATATATCATTATCTAAGACAGTGTATGATTGTTAATACTGACATATTAACATATTTGCAGTTTTAAAATAAATGTAGTGGAGTAAAAAGTTAATATTTTCTCTTTAAATGTTGCAGACTACAAATATGAGGCATGATAGAAATATTCAAGTTACGTTACTCAAGTTAAGTACCTCAAACATTGTCAATCCATACAGCGCCTTTGTAAAAAATTTACTTTCCACTTGTTTTCCACTACTGTCAACTAATACTCAGCAGTGGCTCTAAACCACAACAGAATGTATCCTTACCTCAGTGGGGTCGGACATCTTGAACTCCCAGCCGTCTCCCGTCCAGGAGATGAAGGTGCGACAGGCCGAGTCCAGAAGTAGTTCCAGTAAAAACTGCCACAACTGGATTGGACCAGAACCTGAATGAATAAATACACAGATTACTTTGGTTACAGAGGGCAAGTAGATTATAAGACAATGTGAGATTTTATTAACCTGTAATAATCAGATGGAGAAAATATTCAAGGCACTGCAGCACAAAAAATACTCAATTCAGTATCCAAAAAGAAAAAATTATAGAGGAATTATAATTGCATTATACTGCTGAATAATTATTATTACTGGAATAATGTAATCAATAATAATCGATAGCATTTGTATACTGCTTTCCTGGTCTTATATATAAGTATATATATAAATAATGAAGTATAAAGTGGCACTTAATGTAAAAAAGTACAAGAATGGTATATTCTAACCTGGATAGGCCGACATCCCTGGCATCTGGCCCTCCCTGTCTGGTCTCTGAGGGTGTGGGTTTTTGCGTTTGGCCACACGGGGACAGTACGGCTCTGAGGACTGAGGGCTGGAGCTTGAGGGGCAGGAGGCCAGAGGCAGATGAGGTAGGGGGCTGGCGAAGCTGGGAGATGAGTATTCAGGCCAGAAGGTTGACGAATGCCTCTGTCCGTCAGAGTCGTAGTAACTCTGATCCATCTCACCTGAGACAAAAAGAAGGTAGACACTTTACAGATCCGCCAACTGGCAGTGTGATAATTTTGTTTTTCTAACCGTAAATGACAATGTCTTACTTTGTAACGTGTTTGGTGCTTTTGTGGTTAAAAAGGGGCTGTGGCTGCCCTCCACGGCCGGGCTGAACTGTCCACTCTGGGGCACCAGGCTCTGATATGTCTGCGGAGACTCCTGGTATCCTGCCTGCGGCTGATCTACCGTCGGCCCGTCTGCTTGTCACAAAGATAGTTGGTCATAAAAAGAGGGTCCTTTACAAAGGTACTTATATAGAGTGAGACAACATGAGTCAGGGGCTCACCATGTGGATAAGAGCTCCACCAGTTGAACTCCTGATACGAGTCCAGGTTGAACAGAGCAGTGTCACTGGTGCTCACTGAGGAGAGAGAGAATTGGACCGAAAATTGTCATAAAAGGCAAAAAATACAGACATGGTGACAGAGTGGATTTATTTTTGAGGTTTTACCTTTGGAGTCGTAAGGATGAGAAGATTTGGGGGGCTCTGGGAAGCTGCTCTCTGCTGGATACTGCTGCTGCCCGGGTCCTTTACTGTCTAACAGAAAAGACAGCTCTTCACCAGGGTAGTCTGGAGGTTAAACATAATACAGACAGATGGAGTCAGTGAATGATGATGATGATGGAGGAAGGACTGAGGTAAAGGAGCATACCAGTGCTTTTATCCTATTGGTGCTTATACATGAGGCTATGGCCTTATTTTCAGCTACACATCTCTGTCCACACGAGAACATGAAAACCCTTTCACCCCTGTCCATTTCACTGATGGTCGGTCGGATTGTGAACAAAAATTTGTAAAAACTACTGGACGAAATAAAATAAAACTTGGTGGGAGGATGAGGTATGAGTGGAGGAAGAACCCACTACATTTTGGTTTGGATCCTGTTCAGATATTTTATGTTTTCGCTGATTTCAGCGGACTGTTGGAGGAGATATGAGCATAAGTGCCAGTCTCGTTTTCCATTTGATTTCTCTGGGATTTATATTTTGCTTTCAGGAACGCAGCAGCTAACTACGACCTTTCAAGTAACTCCCAAGTCGCTGCAAGTAGATTTTCTTACCGTGAAATGAAATTGTAAGGCCGTGAATTAATCTAATACATTGTCAAATTTGCTATAAAATGCTAAATCATTGGTATGATCCTTTAAACAGGTTGATTAGAGCTCAGCTAAAGGAAACAGTCATTAAGAGAGGGGAGAAAAGAGGTGAATATGTCAGTTTGGGTCATTATCTTTACGGTGGAAGTTGACACAAGAAAAAGCCAGTTTGTTTACTGTCGAATCAGCACCAGGCACTCGAGCCCTGCTGTTTTTTTCCTCTTCAGCTCAATGGATGGAGGCAGCTCTGAGGAGGAAACCAGGGAGGGAGGGGTAGGAAGAGAGAGGAGGAAACGCCAGCGGAGGGTGTGTGACAGAGTAGTGATGGAGGGATGGGGAAGGGGGGGCTCTAAATCTGTTTGAAGAGGAAGTCTGGAGGAAAGGATTAGGCAGGGGAGTGCGACACGGGGAGTGTCTTTAACCTGACCACCCTGTTTCTCTCTGTCTTTGTCCACCTCAGCTCATTCACACACACACACAAACCCGGCGGCACCCCATTATCCTGACACGCCACTGGGCTCGAGCGAGAGCCCCCCACTCTCAAGGTCTCAGCGAGAAAGCTCTGACAGATGTGATGATACTGTTTGCAGAAAATATTTCCTCTGTCCTTCAGCTGCTCAGGTTCAGAGGAAACAGATCGCACAAACACTGAGGGCGAAAAAAAAACTTTGTCCTCATCACTGCTTCATTCTCAGATCGTCACCAACAGGGGAAAAAAGAAAAGCCCTGATGGTTTTAACTTGTGATACAGTGACATCACAGAGTCAAGTGATTCTCTAAACTCACCATAAGATGTAAAGTCAAAGCCGGCGGGCACTTCCTGTGTCCTGAAGTCCTCTGTGTAGTATCCAGTCTGGCAAATCTCCATCTGTGTTGAAAGAACGTGTGATTATTACTTTCATCAGCTTTGATTTCAAGATGGAGAGACAGAGGCAGCAATCTCTCTCTCTCTCTCTCTCTCACTCACTCACTCATATGCACACAGAGCTGATTAATCAATTAAAAGAACATTTATTGTTAATGTGTGTTGGTTTTCTATTGGCTCCAACCCCCTCTGTGATCCTAAAAGCAGTGGTTCTAAAACTTTACACATCAAGGACCCCTACATTGACCCAGATAGGCCCCCATTTGACAAGATCTTTACTTTCAGGTGTTTTATAACAGGAACAGATTGGAATTCAGGAGCAAAACAGTCATACATCAGGTCATGAAGTTAAAGAGGACAATAAAGGACCCTCATGGAACCCCCTTAAGGACCATTGGGGGTCCCCAAACCACAGTTTGAGAACCAAGGTAGTAAACCTGGGAGTTTGCGGGCCACATGTGGACTTGTCTGCTATAGGAAAAAAGAAGATGCTTCTATTTGCAATTATTTTAATTGTCAGTGATTTATCTTTGTTTTTAAAATGTCAGACATATGTTTAAATCATTTTTCTAATATAAACTTTTATTCACTGTCAGATTTTATAAAAAACGAATTAAGCCACATCACAGCTCAGGAGGAGCACATCTTCCTTCTTATTTCCTCTCATCTTCAAATAATGAAATTGAAAGTTAAATAAATAGAATAAGAGTCGAACTCTACCTTTATTTTGGGCTCTGTTCTGTCTGCAGGTTTGATGATGGTGTCCCAGTACATCTCTCTTCCTCTTCTTCTTCTCTTCTTTAGTTTTCTCAGACGTGTTATGATTTAACGACAGAGTGGTCAGTGTGCGCGCGGTCCCATTATAAAGGCTACAGGGGGGGTGGGAGGGGCGCGTGACCGCCGTGCGTCGTGACCAGAAGCTCGAGCTTTTGTTTAACACGAAGTGACGTCAGACCCCCCTCCCCCTTCCCAGCAACCAAACATTCATTCATAAAAAAAAAACATTAAAAAAAACATTCACTAGTTTATTTTAAATTGAGAATTAAAAAAAATCCAGAAGATAGAAATGATTTTAAAACGCTTTGTTAAAACGTCTCATGCAGCTGTGTGTTAAAGTTTGGGCAACGTTTTTTTTATTTTTAATTATTATACACAATTATTTTGTTCTTATTTCATCCACTTTAGCTTCATGTGACACTATAACCACCAAACACTTATTCATTAAGAAAACACTCACTGGTTTATTTACTAGTAAATAAAAAGGAGATTAACAAAAGTAAAATCCTGCATAATAAAAACTAATTAAAAAAGCTGTTTTAAAAAAGGTAATTTTAAGTGATAAGTGATCACTTCAGTATCTTGTTGACTTTAAATAAAGATGAGATTAAATCGCTTTTCGTCAAATATTATTTTACTGTTGTTTTTATTTCATCAACTTTAATTTCCTGTGGCACGTAAAAAATAATAACAGCTGTTTGACACTGGGTGGAAATATTCAGCTGTGAGGTTGTGTGGCAGCCAGGAAACCAAAACGTGTGGAAGAATAGATTTGGCTAATTCTGGAAGCACAAGTCCTGCAATTGGTCAAGATGTTGAAGAATCCACCATTAACTGCTTCCTGTTACTAAACAATGACTCAGTGAGGTGTCCAAACCTTGGCACATACCATTTTTTTAAGTTAAAGAAGTGAAACAGTAATTTTCCTATTTGATAAAATCATAATTTGAATGTCTGTTTGCTGCAGGGGTTTTATTTACTTCTTTTCACTTTTAAAAATTAACAAATGTGGAATTTGTGTATATAACTATATGATAATAAAGTATAAGCTTTAATACTTTTTTAGCCTATAAAGCATTAAATGGACACAAATCAGTCACTACACTAAATTTTTAATTGGAACATCTGGATAGTGTAGATTCATGTTTCAAACGATCTGACTTATATATGTTCATGATTTCCTGATTTCACTTTTTATCAACGCAAGGATTTCTTGGTTTTCCCCACTATAAACTGAATATAGTCCCTATGGGATGATTGTGACAAATGATTAGTGGATTTATCATAAAACACAGATTAATCCACAATGAAAACCATCATTAGCTACAGACTCTACACACTTCATAGTAGTTTAAGTTAAATAAGTTAGCTGGAGCCAGCGACATAAACATTTCCCTGAAGATATAGTGAGGCCACTTTATATAACTTCATTAAAATAAACAACTTGATATGAAGCTTATACAAAATATCATAATCGTAAATAGGTAGGGAGGTGGAGGTCGGTACAACATGTTAATTTAGGGCTGGGCAATAATACATCTTTTTTTGAGTTTATCAAGTGTTTGTCATTCTCTGCTCATAAAGAAGTTTAAAACCTTCACTCAGGAGCAAAAATCAGTCTCTTAACTGAATGACATAAGAATCTATATCATCCAACAAGATATCTTTCTATTTAAAAACCGGCCACAATACAAAATATCATTATATCAAATGATTGAAATGTTGGTCATTTTCAAGCCAAAAGCAAAAAAAGAGACTTCAAACTTCAAATGATGTGAACTTTATTAATATAATTATCAATGTTTATCTTGAATTGATTGTCTGTGTTAATTACAAGGAAGAATAACAAGAGTGTATTTTTATTCTCTCACTGTTATTGTCTGTGAGTCTCAGTCTGGGTGGAGCTGAAGTGCAGCCTTTTGAAATCAGAGCTCACTCAGTCGGTTTTTAATGAGGTGGCAGCAAAAGAAAAGAAGAAAAAAAAAATCTCTGTATCTTTAGAAACCATTCGACAAAACAATGGCCCGTAAAAAAAAAAAAAACACTGAGCCAAGTGTTCGCTGAAGAAAGTCTGAAATCACAGCGTGAGTGGCTGCAGCAGATAAGAGCGAGTCCTGGGCCTTGTATAAACACACACACACACACACACACACACACACACACACACACACACACACACACACACACACACACAC